TCAGGTTGCTCCCTGCACAAATGATTTGGATTAATTCGTTTAATGATAATGCTCTTCTGAACTAACCAGATTATATTGGACTGAATGGATCAAAATCTGATTATACAGAGTTCTTTCAGGGTATTTGTGATGGTCAATTAGTGATTAGTGATTATTTTACAGATGCTCTTTTAATAATGATTGTGTATGGGAAAACATCTTTTTCGGCAATTGTGCATCACATGATCCAGCAATACCCAGTGTTGGGGACTTTTACTTTGAAAGAATAACTTTGCAAGATACCAATTACTTTATACCGGAAGAAGTTGAGCTACAGCGAAGCACGAAATCTAGTTTAGTTAACTAGAGCTACTTAGAAGAAGTAGTTCAAACTACTTATAAAAAAATGACAATGTACATGTGATATGAAATTACAGATTTAAAAATTACAAATTATTTTAAAAATTACAAAAAAAGTCAAATGCCAGCAAAAAATTCCACTCAATGGAGTTTATTGCAAAAGGTGCCTAGTTGCTCACAGGTTCACATATATAAAGCAAAAAAACAAAATACCTCACTATGTTTGGGAAGGAGCTGGAATGTCAGCTTTGGTTTTTTTTTATACAACTACTGCTTAAGTATGGCCACGGCGATTCTTACTCAGGCTGGGATTGTGGAGGTTTATCCATGATGACGTTGTCGCTGTTTGATCACTGGCTTTTACACATGCACTACACAAAGGTCGAGTGTGTGGTGGTGACTGCCTGACAAATGCATTGTCTGGGTATGTCTTCACAGCAGTCGGGGCCGGACAGAGGGGGTTCAGTTACATTAGAGAAGCAATGGTTAAATAAAAGTGAGGGAGTTCTTTAAGAGATTTGCACAAATTTTAATGGTGCAACCCAGTTTAGTAAATCATCAGTTTGAAACTACTAAGAACTTAGGGAGTATTTTACACATGGATTTAAGGACAGCTGGCGGGACCCAATCAAAGGCAGTGGCTCACAGTACCTTGAAAGGCATTTTCCAGAAAGTAGAAGGACTTACAAGAGGCAGATTCAGTTAAACTAAATACCAATTCTATGTTACAGCTGGTATCATTTGAATTTTTTTGTACTAGTATCTGATAGCTGAGTTTTGGGTACTTTTTTTCTACATCTTATATAAAGAAAAATATGTATGAAATATGTATATTTTTCTGCAAAATCCTTTATCTAACAAAAGAAGATAAACTTTGCAAGCAGCTGACCAAAAACTGTGCCTGAAATATTGACATACAGTTTAAAATCCTTATTTAAATCAGTGACGTTTGACCAAAGACGATATGAAGAAGAACATGAGTCTGAGCGAGGATTTGATGCTTTCGATATCTGATGGTTTCAGGTCTTGAGGTTCAGTAGTCTTTTTCTTTTCCACAAAATAACTGCTGAGATTTATCGAACCTCACAGATTGATGAAACACAAGAGTGAAAAAAACACAAAGAGCATTTTCCTCTGAGGAGCGAACAGAGCAGAGTGGACGGCCAGCTGTGATCTCTACTGCGTTCTCCTCGCTGTAACTTAACCAGGCTGGAGAGGAAGACGCAGCTCTTCATCACACTGCTGCAACATGCAGGAAGCATCACCATCTGGCTACGTACCTTTGGGTTGCTCTGCCTCTATTTCTTTCTCTCAACCTTGTTGCCTCTGTCTCTTGTTTAAGAAACAGATTGAAAATAAATGAGGAAGAGGGAGGGAGAATGAAAAGAGGGTGAAGACGGCGAGGAAGAGGAGGCAGAGAAAGAAAATGGAAAAACAAGAAATAGTAAGAGAAATAGAGAGATTCAGAAAAAGGAGGTAGACAAAGACATAGAGCAAGACATTTTGTACTTGTTCTCTCTTGCTCTGGCTCTATCTTTCTCTCTAATTCTGTCTCCCTCCCTCCCTAATGAAGTTATCTTTCTTCCTCTGTCACAACTCTCTCCAGTCTGGGTTTGCTTCAGATAAACAAGACTTGGCAGCAGCAAAACCTCAAAGAAAAAAGAAAACTTCAGGAGAATCTGCTGGGGAAAGAGACACATTATTTTGATGGCTATGTTTTCATTTCCTCTACTCTCAAGTCCACTTTTTATCATCTGGAGTGCCACAGCTCTGAGTGTGAAGGAAATGTCACCTCTGCACTGTATAAGGTTTGTAGAAAACAGTCTTTATTGTCAGTGTTAAGTGTCAGCTAATTAGGGAGATTAAATTAAAACTAAAACGTCTTCCACACCTGCGGCTGGACAGATTTTTTCCTTATGTTTTTTTGAGGATTAAAGTTGCCAGTGGCTGCTTCAGTGGTAGATAAGAAAAAGCACTTGCTCACCACTGCACCTGCGTTTAATTCCCAGCAGTGAGGTTTGCATGTTGGCAGTAGCAGTGTTCTGGGTGGGAAGATGTTGATGGATCATGTATACCTCACTGCACTAGCAGGCCCTACAGGTTGGTCGGGATATCTGCACAGAGGAGTGAGATCTATGGGATGAGTGTGAACAACAGTGTGCGTTAACAAGCATTCAAACGGTGCAGGGAGCTGCGTCTGTGGGGTTGTTGTTACGTCCAGGAACACATGGATTGCGACATCTTAAAACACACTTACGTTATTGCTGCTTGCGCTTTCCGACAACCCAGCTGTAACATAACAACAACCTCCTTTACTGCAAAACTGCCGTAAAACTGCTGAGTGTCACAGAATCTACAGTCACAACAATTGTGGCTCATACACAACAGTCGTGTTGTCACTTGCCTGTCTTACAGAACAGACATATCTCCCTTTAATGTACACTGACTCTGTGGCCCTTGCATCACCCTGCACTCGTAAACATGATATCTCATTAACGCCTTGAAAGAATTTTTTCAAATCGGTGCAAACATTCACTTGGACTCAAGGATGAACAAGGGATGACGTATTTTTGTAAGCCAACCTGGAAGTTATCATCACCCTGGATCCTTCGACAAAAAGTCTATGGGATTTCTACACTGGCTTTTGGATTACTGCAGAAAATAAACTCTGTGACAAACAAAAGTTTATGATACTTACACATTTTGCACAGCAGGATGATCTTCACAAATGAACACACTTTTATGTTTTTTGAAGCCTAAACACAATCACCAAAAGTAAGAGGCTAATGTCAGGCTATAAACAAACTACACCACAGTCGCATGACCACTAAACTTCCAATGTGTCATTTGGTTTAGTTCACTCCCCTCTTCCACAAAAGCCTGTCCTCTTACAAAGTTAATGCTAGAGCACAACTATAAACACAGTGAAGCTGTAAGGGTGGACTGGTGAGTAGATCAGTTTTCGTGTTCAGTGTGATGACATAAACATCCCCGACAACTCTCATTTAGACACTTGAGACGTAAAAGAAAACATCAGTGGGATACTTACTGACTTATCTCAGGCATCTGACCAAAAACCCATAGACTTCAGGAGGGAACTAGAACTGCTAAAATGCCAATTTGTTTTTGGTTTGTAGGACGCATACCTGCAGCACTCTATAGGATAAAATGATAAAGTGATGACATTTTATATCCAAATGGTTAAAGGTCAACTTCACTGTGACATCATAATGTCTTCAAAAACACTTCACACACGCCATTATTCAACGCCGTAACTCAGGAAGAAGAGATTGTGACTATATTTCCTGCAACCTAAATGGTTGCTGGAGGCACTTAGGTAAGGATAATCTCCACAGACACACATCTCCTGCTCTTTATATGATATGAACTTATTACGGTTCTGCTGTCCAGTAAGTTTCTACTGTCAGTCAGCCCGGCGAAGGCAGTCTGGTCTCTGTCCTTTACAGCTCCTTACAGACAAGAAGTTGGTTCTGACAACAGAGACGGCTGAAAGGAGGTCAGAATCAGTGTGGATCGAACAGACTGAATGTTCCAGTAGCACTGATGAGCCACTGTGTCATATTGTAGACAAGGGCCATTCTTCCCATTCTTTATAACAAGACACCAGACATGGCAACAGCTGAACTTCTCTGCAAATTAGAGAAACTAAGGATCCACAGAGTCTTTCTTGTGCTTGTCTGTGTAATATCACAAACAGCTGCAGAAAGATGCACATCTCAGTCACAACAACAGCGTTACAAGCTAACAGCAGCACGACAAACTTCTCTCCTAATTAACAGATTCATGCATCAAAATAAATGTTTACCTCCAAAAGGTAAAAATATTGATACATGCACTTAAAGTAACTAAATGTCACATGTACAGCAGAAGCAGAAAGCAGTAAAAATACATTAAGATAAGGAAGTGTAGGAAAAGTAGGAAATATTGTATATTATTGGAAGTGTACCTTTCAAAATAAAGCTATTCACTAAATAAATATTTAGGGTTTTACAGGAATGTATATTGCCCTCTTAATTTAGCCCAACAACCTATACACTACTAAGCAGGCAGTCAGACTATAACCAGTTACCTGATGTCTCTGATGGTTCTCTGTAGCTTTGCAGGACGCCAGCTGAATTTTAATGCTACTGTACAAACCTCAGACTTCAGAGATCACAGTAGCTATCTTAGACCCAAGACCTAGTCCTTTCCATGCTAAATAGGAAGCAGTCTGAGAAACAGCCATTTGAAGTGATCCTGTCAACATTGGTGTCAGCGTTGTTGTGTCTCCCATTAGTCACCAATTCAAATGTTTCATCCTCACTTTCTCTCCCTACTAGTAGTCGTCTGACTCCAGCCTTCCTGTCCCGTCTTTGTTTGTTTCTAGTCAGTGTTTGTTATAACCTCTTGTGTGTCCTTGCCAGGCGTGTGTGTATATTTGTATGTCCGTGTCCTGAGTGCAGCTGCCTTGTGGATGACCTGTTTGTGCAGGTCACTCTGAAAACGAACTCAGACGCATCCTGTCCAGCTAAAGTCGGACTCCAGTGCCACTTGGCTACTGTAAAAGCTTGTGCTCACACATTTGCTCACTCCACTCCATGTTTCTGCTTCTTCTTCTTCTTCTTTTTCTTCTTCTTCTTCTTCTTCTTCTTCTTCTGTAGGTGCCTGGTTGAAGTCAGAGGAGACAGTGGCACTGAAAACAAAGAGAGCTGACTTTGCTGCTGGTTTCCTGCGAGGCCGGATGGTAGTAGCAGGAGGACTTGGTAAGACAGATGAGTGGTAAACTAAAATGTCTGCTGCTCAAACATGTTTGTGCTGCATTCATGTTGTATAATTCATGTCAGAATAGATACAGTCTAGAACAAATATCGCGATATACTATATTATTGCAGAGTGGGGGGTTATTTGAATAATATAAGATTGTATTTATTTTATGTTTCAGGTGTAAGAAATGCCCCAAGCCTTACGTCTTTGACATAATTTCAAAACTGTTATTTCCTCACATTCTGTTGATAATTTTGGTAAATGAATGGTTCAAACTAAAATACTTAGATATACGTAGCACCTTTAACCCCCTTTTGGGTGTGGATGTGCACATCAATAATAGAAATAGGCTTTTTTATGCTGTGTAAGTTAAATATAAAGTTTTCATCTATGCAGAAATAGGAGACAAGTTTCAGTAGTATACCACGCACTGTACATGCAGTGCTTTCAAAAATGACCACAATGACCAAAATCATTAACGTCATATATATTACATGTTCACATTCAAGTAACTTTTCATAGCACTAGTCTGTGAAAGTTCGACATGCTTGTGTCCCGCAGACAGAACTGTTGAAGAATAGGCTGAGTGTGAAATATCATGATATTCAATATTATCGAATATTGGCCCAATCCCATTAAAGTACAAAGAAGTGTCTACATGGCTCCTTTGAATCAGCCAAGAAAACATACTGTCAGAATAATACTTTTATGGCTTATGTGATCTCATTCCGTTGCAGGATCTTGTTACGGTACAGAGTGACATTATTTTAACAAACAGGTGTGTAATAGACTGCTGCATCTGAATAACCCCTCAGGCTGTGGTCACAAACCCCAGGGAAGACTCCTTTCCTGCTCCGGGGCAATGTGGTAGCAAACTTCAGGATTAATTCTTGTCATTTCACTCGACTGCTGGTCAGCAAAACTCAGTAACTCTTTCTTTCATTGGCTGCAGCCTTTATATTCTTGACTGTTACTGACTCCCTTCCATTATCCAGCTCATCTCCCTTTCCTGAGCACAACCATACATTCACCACACATACCACAGCCAGCATTTCCACAGAGGCTGCTCTACCAACAGTATTTACATTTAGCTTAATTTTGTCTGTATCGTGTTGAATGAAGGCAAAGTGACCTCACGTGACCGACGTGGCGTCTTTTCCTGTTCCAGCTCTTTCTCATCTGCACCGGCTCCCGGCTGCATCTCTGCAACATTTTGTATTTTCAAGTTACATTGGACACACATGGTTAATAACATCTCTGAAAACTGCTAAGTGGAAAAACGCCTCTTAGATTTATGAAGCCTATCGGGTTACATTTGTTGTTGTACTGTCAAGGGGTCGGTGACAGCCTCCATGAAGGAATGAATTTATTAAAAATACTGATGTGTGCGAGTAAAGGTAGGTCAGTTAAAGAGTCATAATGTTGGTTTTAGTAAGTTTTCAATTAATCAAGCAGCCGCACACTAGAAAAGAAACAGGGAATTATCAGACACATGATTTTACAATGAAGGGAAATGATGCATTTGTTTTTATCCGGGGTTAAATTGAGCTGGAGACCACGGGAGCTGAGGTCTGCCTTCTGAAATCAAATCTAACCCTCTCTCACACTTAAAACATCCATCCACTCTCAGACACTGTGCAAGCAAATGTTGAATTTCTCTGCTGTATCACAATAACAGGGTTGAGGCATGTTTCCAAACCGTTGTGAGACAGCGCTGTGTGCAACTTACACGTCAGAGCAACTGTAACTTTTTAAAAATACTGACTTAATACATACATACATGTGGCATTGTGAGTCCAGTACCATCAAAGCTGTGCATTTTTATTTTTAGCATGGCAAGTGTGTTTAGTTTAGGTCTTTACTGCTTAAATACAATAATATTTGCACTGGCATTACTGCAGACATGGAACTTAAAAATAAGGCATCAGAGAGTAATGAACCATAAATTCAATTCTCCTCCACTGATTAATTTATAGGGTCGCTTCACCCAAATACCTATAAATTTTTAATTCAATGAAATTTAGTTTTTTGTAAAACAAATGACATTTAACTCAACAGCAACATCTCTTTCCAGAAACAGGGCAACTGTTACTCTGGACAGTCAACATCAACGGAGCACGATGTCCGCAGTTTTAATCAAAACTACATTCTACTTAGGTGGTAATAAATCCCAATTGAACCACTGGTTGTATTTATATCACTGACTGCACTGGAACACAGGTATGATGATCATATTCAGCTAAATTCTGATGTAAATGTAAATCTGAGAGAAATCATATGAGTTTCCACCTGAAAAAACATCTGGATGGCAGCCTGTACAGTACAGAGCTGTCACTTTATACAAAATTCATTCATTTGTTGGAATGTGGGGGAAAGACTTCCATCCTATAAGCACAACAGACCTCTCTTCTCTGTTGACCTATCAGTTAACTAAGAAACTGGTAAATGTATGTTATACCTTTATTAAATTTGAATTCATTTGAATGAATTGCATGTTATTCAAATAGTATCACAAGTAGGAATATTCATAGACTTTTAAATGTTTAAATGTCTTCCTTCATTCTTCAGGTCATGAGCCCTCAGCACTGGACACAGTGGAGGCCTTTCATCCTCAGAGGAAGAAGTGGGAGAGGTTGGCGACCATGACCTTCCCCCGATGCTCCGCCTCCTCCATTGTCATCAGAGACCGCCTCCTGGTGGTGGGAGGAGTCAACCAGGTACATTAGGGCTTCATGCAGTATTTACAGTTAAACAGAAGATGATTACGGTAACTCATCAGATGAATGAACCAGTCTCTGCATTGGCAGATGCTCAGTGTTAAAAAAAGACAGTTTACTTGTTTATTTATACCCTCATTCGGAATGTGCAGTGCCCTCTACAGCTGCTCAGTCTGATTTCATGTGGAGCGAGCAGCTTGTAAGTGGGGATGTGTTAAGAAAAGGCCCTGAGCTGTCTGACTACCTGCTCGCTGCATGTCTGTCCATCAGGATCACGCCTACACAGACCTGTACCTGCGGTACACACTGACACTGACAGTGATGGACAGTAACGTCCTACTTTTCCCAGTAATGAGCAGCTTCATGAAATACTGTAAAAATAATTGCAGTCACAAAATGTGTGAGTGTGCCAGAATGAATGACCAATGGTAACCTCTCTACTATGCAGTCAGTTCACATCAAAATGAACCCTGATCATCCACAGCGTTTGAATGTGGGGATTTTACACATAAATATTCAGTTCACACCTGGCTTTAAACTGCGTCTCCACGTGTCTCATTTCTGAGCGGATCTCACTTCCCTGCTTTATATGCAAATAAACAGATATGCGTTGTTGTTGTTGTTTTTAGCCAATCGACAGCCGGGTTCATTGTCAGTGTGTTTGTGAGGGAGAGAGAGAGTGAGGTGGGGCTGAGCAAATCAATTTGCTGTGGACAGCTCTTCAGTGAAATAAAGTTTTATCCATTTGAAATAGTAAAATATTCTCAGTTCATTATAAACTGTTGGGACTAATCAGACTGTGTCAGAGGACGTCAGTAGAGTAGTTGCTCCTTCATTGTGGCCCAGGACTCATTCACGTTCACACTGCGCAAAGAATGTGGACACATGTGGTCCAGAGTCCAGACCACCTCTGAATGTGGTCTGAGTGATCGGATCTTAAATGTGTACGTTCACTGGGAAACGATAAGAAGAAATGTATTCGTTTAATGACCAAGTTCTCCTCAGGAGATTGAGTTTACTGAAATGCCAAGAATCTGCGGATGTTCAAGCTTTTTGTGGTGCTCAGAATCATGATTCAATCTCCTGACTGAGACTGTTAAATGCCGCTGAAAGGTCCAGAGCAAAAGAGTAAGTGAACCTTTAGTTGAAGTTTGTTTTGTCAACTGTTGTTTCCAATTTCAAGGATGAACTGTCAAGATCAACATATGGTAAAAAAAAAAGTTCAGTCTCCAGAGACCACTGTTACTACAGACAATTAATACTTGATCTGATGTCACCAGTCTCATGGTCGAGTACCTGAAATCCCTTGATATTAAGCTGAGTTTATAGATTAAAAAATAAATATATTAAAGATAGTTAATTCACACATTTTCCAAAACGCACATCTACAGACTCAGACTAAGTTGTATTTCTATTAGTTTATTTAAAGCCCCTAAACACTTGATTACAGATCTTGAGTATTCACTATAGCATCAAATATCCATCACTAAATTAGTGAAATGCACAGTTAAAGTTTGAGACAAACATTATTAGGTATTATTTGGTATTTATTTAAGAATAATTTAAGAGTTTAACACATTCAGTCGGTCTGCTTAATGAAGGCTGTCTGAATGTGGCAGCACCACACAACAGCATTCGCATGATGATTCCGTTAATTGAGTAACCAAATTCTTGGTGCACAGAAAAATGTGACACTTCAAAAAACAAAGATACAGAAATAATGAAACCTGCGTGAACTTAAGTCGGAAATATTGTAATAATTCAGTCCCATCCCTCGCTGATTAAGAAAATATGTTTTCAGGGGCCTTTGATATTCACTGATCATGTGACACAAGAATGTTGAAACCTTGAACCTTGAAACATGAGCACAAGGAAAGAAAAAACAAAAATGAACCTGCGACTTTAAAAATGCAGCACCTCTCACTTCCCTTACCTGTTGGTACTAACATGACTGAACAGCTTCCCCTTGTGGAGAATCTTCAGCCCACTGAAAGTGACTGTGTTTGCATGAGGTCCTCTGTATCTAATAATGGACAGTATTTAATATTGAGTGCATTGTCATTCTTATATCATGGCCACTATGAAAGGAGAGAAAATGAGACTGTGTCTAAATGATTGCGTTTTTACTTAGTCGTTGGTTGGTTAGTTTCTCTGTAATTTAACTGGTTATGTTTCGTAAAGTGCAGTGTTGTTAGTGGATATCTGACACACTGATTTAAAACAATGGTTCAACTGTTGACACAGACCATGTTGAGTCTTTCCAGACCGTGACTATCCATCCTTTCTCTCTCTCGCAGGTTCCCAGCTCAGCCCATGAGATTCTCTATGTGAAAGAAGAAGAGTATCTGTAGCCTGCGGCGACGGACACCAGATGAACACAGCAGATCAGAGTCCACTTCCTCTTCTCTGAACAACCCTCCTAAATGAGACTGTAGTGCAATATGTAGGAAGCAGTGAGAGCACTGAGAGAGATGGAGCCCGAGTCCCTGACTTTGTCATGCCATGTAACAGATAACGCTGCCCCCTGCTGGGCTGTACTGACACTGAGACCCACACGGAGGCACACACATGCACAATGGAGGAGCTGGCTCTTTCTTTATACCAACTTATGTGTCTTGATACTTTTAGTATGTGACACTTCTGCGTTGTATGTCGTAGTGCATACTTGGAGAAGAGGATATTTTGTAGCTTTCATGTTTAGTTAATGTAGACAGAAAATGTATGGAAGACCTATTTTATGGCATATTTGCATTTCATGTTTTGTGTCTTTGGTTGTGTGTTTATTTGTATGCAGCTTGCTAACAACTGAGCATAAGTAGATAGTTTGATTTCCACATAAGATTTTCATTTAGTCTGATAACATGACATGCAATATAACATAGCAAAAAAGTCATTAAAAACTGCATTTACACTCAAGCAGTTAACACTGAGTGCAAGTTGATATTACCATCAATAACTTCTAGTGTAATGTATTGTAGTAATTACACTAAGAATGCTGTGCTGTCACTCTTCTGTGCTGTAACAGTGCACTTTTGTGATTGTTGTCATAGATCTGTTTTAATACATTGCATATATGAAAAGAAAAGATGCATTAAATGACATTATGTTTGGGTAAGTGATCACCAAAGTGCTGGTGAAGGCAAAGAAGAGGATTCTGATTGATTCTGATTGTACACATTTTATTCCTGAAGCAATACAAAGTTCTCTTTTTTTCAGTGTTTCATTAGTGCAGCATGTGCTGTGTAGTAATAATCATCACTCAATAACGTTTCACTCAGGTTGTGATGTTACAGATTTGTTTTTGTGACTTCCTGTTTGCTGTCATTATAGCCAACGTCAGACTCTTGTCTCTTTGGCTCAGAGGAATAAGCTGTGTAATATTTTCCTTGTGTTAATCTCTGTTCTGCCCTTCACCCTGTCATAACATGTAATACTGAGGACATGAGTCGTCATATTCAGTGGAATAAATGGGATCTGTGGTTTGTATTGCACTTCTTTTGCACTAGATGGCAGTGATTACACGCAGCTTCAGCAGACTTACATAAGTGGGTATGATGTTGAAGTCAGTCGATTTCCTTTAATTATGTTTGAATAGAAATGACACAGTTTCATAAATGTAATATGTAAGTTATGATGCCAAGGGAGGGAAGGAGAAGAAAAGGCCTAATTTATTTTATGAAAATTCATTTTATGTACTTATAAGTGGCTGTAATGATAAATGACAGGAAATCCTAATATTTTAACACTATCACATACAACTGATGTGATGATGAGATGAAGAACACAAACCAGATTTATGAGGCTTATGAGGAGATCAGATGAACCATAATTTTTGTGCCTTAAACTGCACAAAACACAAAAGTAACACATGTAAAATGTTCAGTTTCCCATCCTAATAATGTACTCACACTCACTTAGCTCACAGTGCATAGTTAGCATGTAGCAATCTGGTCAGAACACTGGATTTTCATAAGGTAGTGAGTAGCCTAGCACAGAAACAGGTGGGGAAGAGACAGTGTGTGAGACAGATCACACTGTTTCAGTGTGGTTACTGGTGACGCTGGTGGCTTTGCATGGAAAATGCATCACAATCTGTGTGTTTTCATGAGCCCCTGCAGCTGATAAATAATAGATATTAAATCACATGGAAACAGATTGTTATGAGCGTAGGAATTTCATACATGCTAACGTAATCTTTTGTATGCTAACGTTACTTCTGTTCTGGACACACTTGGTTAATTTCTCACCACCTGCAATGTAGAGTAGACATGTCTTTCAGTGTGAGGCATGTTTAGCATACATCATATAAATTCACCACTAAACAGTAATTTTACTGGTTTCTAGCAAATTGCCCCATTTACAAGAGGTTTTCAGTACATTTACGAACAAATCCTCAACACAGAATCTTCAAACTGAACTAGTTAAATATTCAGTATCTTCTAATCTTTGAAGTGAACTGAAGAAAACAATTCTAATCATGAAAACGATGTGGAAATCCCTACCATTCCCTGAGTATGTCCATATGTATATACAGCATATTTATATATGTATGTATGTCATGACATTGAGGCAACATTTTTCCACCCACCTGCTGTTTGATTGTTTGTAAATTGGAAACCTGTCTCTAGGACATGCATTTCATTTTGAAACTCCATAGTTGCAACTTGCAATGTCATATCAGTGGTAGATATCTAGTACTGCTTAAAAGCTGTAAGTTAATAGGCACTAAAGGGTTGTAATAATGGCTGCACTCAGATTGTTACAGCAGGTTTACTAATGGTTGGTAAGGCTCTTTAGGTAATACATATTCACTGCCTACTCTACATCCATACTGGTTTCCTGTGTGAGGCTTTTCCTGCTGCCAACTAAGGACTGAATTCTGCTCTATAAATGACTCACCCCACACACACACACACACACACACACACACACACACCCATTTTAGACATCATCCAATCTAAAATGGGCTGATTGCATTCAAGTGAGGCCGGCTGCGTGTTTGTGACCGCTCTCCGTGGCTGCTGTATTCCTCTCTGTGTTTTTTCCACATTAACTCAGTCAAACTAATTTCCCTGACAAAGCAGCAGACACTCAAAGAGGGTGGGGGGGTGGGTGGGGGGGTCAGTTGCCTAAACTAGTGAAACTTGCTTAACCATTTACGTAACAAGACGATTAACAACATGAATGATGAAAATTAATTTGTCTTACGTGGTATTTTCTCTCCATTGGAGTCTAAAAAGGAAAAGATATGCCTTTCATTGATGAGGCCTATATTGAGTCACTATACACTGATACACTGAGGCAATTGAGGTAATCAAGTTACTTAATCAAAATATCAATGATTAGATTGGCTCTCAGTTCATTGTCAAATTAGTTTTATTATTTTAAGTTGAAAAAGATCAAAATGATGTTGCATTTAAAGGAGCTATTCATAAGTTTTGGAATTGCTACATAGCTAACGTTCGCATTAGCAGCTGTTTACTTAGGCTTACCAGTCTAGAAGAAACATTTTGAGTTCAGCATCAAACTTCATTCCTTTACTCACCAAGAGCTGTCTCCAGAGGTGGAAAGCAACGCTAACCAGCTAGCCCCGGCCTATCTCGCTACTTTCCAATAGCCTCCACTCTGCCCTCAAGACGTAACGCTGCTCAGAGGACATACTGTTACCTCTTGTATTATTAGTAATGATGGTCGAAGCTCTCATCAAGTGATAATTACCATCACCCGCTACCAGCAAGAAACCAAGAAAACTTACAAATAGCCCATTTAAAGGTTACCAGTCTGGTGAACAACAACCAGTTTTGGCAGATTATTGGCAAAATGCTTTTATCACTTCTGAGTATCTTTTACTCATCAGTATACATTACTGTGAAAGTGACAGAAATACAAACAAATTGAAAAGGAAGAAATGAACCTGCACAGTGTCGGTGAGGGGTCATATTTGATCTGAGCACAAGGTTTCTGAACCTGTTGCGTAATTTAGAGGAACAAGTGGATTTGCACAGTCAAATGCTACAACTTTAGAAGGAAATTCCCTGTGTGTGTGGGGGTTGGCAGATGGGTACATGGGAGGGGGCTGGGGGGTGGGGGGTGGGTGGGTGGGGGGTGTCAGCTCAGCGGATGGCAGTCTGGTCAAAGTACATTACTGGTATTATCTCACCCATCATTCCCTTCTTATGATTTGTGTTCGATAATTAAGTGTTAAGCAAAATTAAACATTTAAATAAAAAAAAGTTGAACTACAAACATACAGAATTTGTGTTGAATATGAAATATTGTATATGTAACCTTTTAACTGAATTTCCATAATAGTGCCAGATGTAATTGCTATGATAGTTGTGATGCCATTTGATGTTATCTTGAAAGTGAGTAAACTGTAAAACGCTATATATTGATTTATTATTATTATCCTTATTATTATGTAATGGTGCAAGACTGACACGTCTTCTGCTGGAGAAAACGGATGAGTCTGAGGGAAGACGCACACATGCACAAAAATAAACATGTATATACTACAGTATATTTGACAGTATGGTCACATGGATGCATGCATCGATATGAGAAGCCACTTAGGCCAAAACTGAATACTTCACTTGCACATACATATATACTGGTACTAAGCACTTACACATACAGTACACAGTATACTATTATGCATATACATACATATAGTTATGCATATATACATACTATCATGCATATACATACATACAGTTATGCATGTACATACATACATGTATACACATATCTAAATACTCAGTATGTATGTGTGAGTGTGAGTATTTATTTATGTGCAACCGTGAGTATGTATGTACCCAGAAGGCACCACACTTCATCATTTTTTTCCAAAGTTTATTCCTGGTTGAATTGGGAGCTGCTGGGTTGCATGGTGGTGTATGGTGGATGATACTGACGGTCTAAACAACCGACTTAGCTCCCTTTCCACATTGGGATGAACAGCACTTGATAACTGACTAGTGTTTTCAACATTAGTAGCGATGGCGCTGATAATATGCATGTATGTTAGAGTGCTTAGTACCAGTATACTGTATATGTATTTGCAATGAAGTATTCAGTTTTTCTCATACATCTACATGACCAACAGTAGCTAAGGTTGAATCAGCCTCCAGTTATTGAAATCATTGAAACATCATTCTAATACATTTGCATATTTACATTTCCCCTATACATTTTCCACAGACTGTCTTCTTCTGCTGTTTTCTTTTTTCACTGTTGCAGACAGCTGTTTCCAGTACATATGCTTGAGTTACACACTTAAGAAATCAAATGCATGTACTACTGCGCTACAATGCAAAGCCAACTGACAAATATTTCTGACATTTAGTGATATGGATAACCTCACTTAAGCAAGTCCTTGTATATTGATTTTCTAACTGTATTCTAATGAATGGAAAACATTGCATACACAAATGTAATATATGTACATATATGGAATTTCCATAATATGAAATATAATAATAATATAATACATTTAAAATAAGAACATATGTAAAGACTATATATATAAAACCTATAGAAAATTGGAACAATTTCATATATTGCATATATGTCTAGCCCATACAAATATGTATGTTTATGTATGAATGCTTATATTGTAGACAAATATTACAAAAATATATATCCATCCCAAAACCTGTCAATATATATTGATATTATATACAGTGGGTTCCAAAAGTCTCAGACCACTTTCCTAGAATGGGAAGATAGACATGTTTAAAATTAATAAGAAAAACATTAATAAGCATAAGAATGTTTTATATGAATGTTGTTTTAATAAACTTGTATATATAAATTAAACATATATTTAATATATATGCTTTCAACATGTATATACCATATAAAAAATATTCATAGATATACAGATTTTAATATGGGTAATTCATATATGGTAAACTTATATCTTCATACAGTATATCCATATACATGCCCTATAGATGACATATATGGCAACATCAGTCTTGATATAGGGACATATATGTCATATATTACATTTCTGTGTGGCAATTTTTACAGACAACAGCATATTTTGGCAAATCAGTATTGGAAACTATACCAGATATGTAACGTGGACAGTAGGTTAAAACTTACAAATACACAGGTATGACCTTTAACTCAGGGCAGGTCTGCTCCACACTCCTCTATGACCTCAGAGTATTTTTGTCTCCATTCTCCAGTTTCCATCTCTCCATGATGTGATGATGATGATGATGTCTGTTTTGTTTAATGGGTGAACCATGTGCTGCCTGCAGGAGGTTACTCTTCACCCACCCATGCACACACACACACACATAACAGCACACATGCTATATGAGGACAGGCAAGTTAATTGGTAAGGCTGTTTGTTACTCTCTAACACCTTCCTGTCATTTGTAAAAAAAAAAGAAAGAAAAAAAGATTTGGGTGTTGCCTAAGTAATTTTTGATTAAGTATTTTTTTTAATCTGATTTGATCATGTTTGACACACACACACACACACACACACTCACACACACAAAGACACACACATTTGGGTTGTTTATCTGATGATAACTGATGATGATATTACATGGCAACATCACTTTCATTGGGTAGGACACAGGAGCAGTCAGACAATCTGAAGCACTTCATTTGGAGGTAAAGTGCACTCCAAATTTTGCTAATAACCTCTCATTGCACAGTTGGGTCACGGCCAGGGTCAGCTTATCTGTTAGCATGTTTACTGCTGGTTGAGTAATATTGGCTGTGTGGGCTACTACAGTGTTATCTAAGAGATCTTCTACAAGAGTTATCTAAGAGAAGAGATCATTCTCTGGTTTTGTTATTTTAGGAGTTTTTACATAAAAATGTTATAATGAACACATTCTAGTAGGAACTACAAGTGGGTATAATGTACTATATGTGGTGGTAGGCTGGCTTGTCAGAACTAAATGGAAGTGAAAGAATGAAAAAACAAATTAGATTAAAGTTTGAAGTTTTACCATAGTTTACCCTCACTGTAGAGAACTTTACTCAATTGTTAAAGACAGTTGTGTTATGCACTTTTAAACTGTTTATTTTCGTCTACAGTACAAAGAACTAAAATTAGCCAGCTGCCGAAGTCTGTCTCTGTCAGTCACATGGCACTGGCCTTGGAAGTCTGTAGAGGTCTGTTGAGGTTAGAGTCACACAGAGGTGTGCTTAATTAAGTTGCGGCTCCTTTCGAAGGTTATGTAAGCACTGTTCCTACAGTGGCAAGTTTACATACATCAGTCAACCATGATAATATGATCAAATGTTAGACTGACTTTATGAACAGTTTCATCATGTTGAGAATACGATGCAGCAGTCAGCCAAATCCAGCTAAGTAATATTAGATACCATGAATGTAGTAGGTTGTAATTAGCATAGCATTAAGCAGCAGAAGAATGAACACAAGTAGTTTGTGTTTTGAATGATTTCATTGACTTGTGTGGAGCAAAGGAAGCCACATTGGAAACATCCATTCTGAGGAAGCTAACAGGCTAGACTATGAAAATGTAGCTAAGCTAGCTTTCATCTCCAGCAGCACAAGCTGTCCAAGTGTAACAGACTGACTCTGTCGTGTTTCTGTGTAAATGCATCAAAGATAAAGAAACTGTCAGAGGAGTGAATGATGAATAAAGGATGTTTTCTGTCTTTTCATCTTTACTAATTAACGATTTAAATCACTATGCAGCTCAGAGGCTACCGGCAGCTACTGGACACTTTTAAGGTGGAATGTTTTTGTTCCTGTTACTCAATGCATGATTGAAGTTTGGAAATCAGTCAATATACCTTGAATGTCAATATGACAACTTTGACCATTTCATTTGTTTTTAGTTGCTCTCTAGCTATATGACATACACTTTAGTGATGATCACATCTTCAGTGCAGATATTTTTTGTCATCACTTGGAGAAAAAAAGTGGCCAAGCGTCATTCTGGTACCACTACACCTATGGGGTCACGTGACAGACAGAAAGTTGAAGGCAGGCTGATTTTCAGTAGGCCTACCCTTGCTAGCTAGCTAGGCTTTTTGTATTGTAAGAAGGTATATCCACTGGCTATATGATAACAACAAAAAAATAGTAAAACTACAACAAAGGCACCAAACTTTGAGTTACTTTTTACTTCTGTTTAGTTTTGTCAAAACACCTTCAAATGCATGCAATGCTTTTCTCTGTCACAATCATGATTATTGCTGTATGTTCAGACAGAAGACAAAGTGGATTTTAGAGGCAACACAGTTGCTTAAAAAGTCAATGGAAAGATGCTAGTAGACACAAAATCACCAGGGCAGCACAAACTGACAGATACAACTTGAGCACAAATCTATTTAACAATTTGCTTTAAATGTTCAGAGATGAGAGGAAAAAGAAGAAACATTGGGGTTAAATAACAGAGAGAACTGGAGTTTCTGGTGAGTTCAGGGAGAGACTGAGCTGAACACAAACACACAGACACCTCAGACAGTCAGTGTGTCTATTGCTGGCTAGCTTACAGCCGATGCCTGTACAGTTGTGACAGCTCACATTCTCCATCTGAGGAATGTTGGTCAAAACTGCATGTCCCTAAATGTCCTTTAACTGAATGAATCAGATGGGATGAAGCGTCTGCATGATGTTAGCGACAGCACTCTCACTAGGGTTTCTAATGACTCATAGGAGAAGTGAAAACTCAAACTCAGGCCTGTCGCAGTTTTCTGCTGCAGTTTTCTGTGTGTAGAGGAGCAAGGCTGGAGGGGATGGGAGAGGGAGCGAGGGGGTGTGTTCGGTGGACAGCCATTCATCCTGAGCTAAGGGAAGGTTTCCAAATCTCCCCCCTGACATTCTTCTGGGCTCAAAGAAGCCCCGGCACAGAAGTGGCCCAAAACTGGCACAGACCGCCTCAGCGTTGCCAGGGACAGCCACTCTGCCGAGGTGTTGCTGGGGCCCAGCGCTGTTTTGTCTTCCATTCTCACCTCACTTCCTGGTTTGGAAAAGAAGGCTGGAGGATCATTAACCAGCAGAAGGACCTCATACTGCACCGTACTGTATGTAACCACGTCTCCATTTAGTTAGCTATTTCTGCCTTCACTTGCATGGCCTTCCTTTTTTTTTTTGCTCTTAAGCAAACATCCATCCAGTGTAGTCGTCAGGTAGATTTCCTAACCTGACGGAAAGATTATTCATATCTCACGTATTGCCAGGGACCAGTTTAGTGTGTCATATTGTTCCATGTCCTGTATTTGACACTACAGTGCACAGTGTAACTTAAATGTTACATCATGTCTTTTCACTGGATGAATACCATCTTACTGACCTTATACAGTTAAACAACAAAGAAGCTCTGTGACTTTGTTCTTATGTCTTTTTACTTCCTGTCTATACCAGATGTGGGAAAGTGTCGCACTGTGTAATTTAACATCTGCTGCTTGTAATCCCATTGTGCCTTAATTATTGGAAATATCTCATAAGTTTCAAAAAATGACATGCAGCGTTGAGGACTATTTGCATTGTACGTAACTTTTTGTTATAGATGGTCTTTCTTTGAAATTTGTAGAAGGCTGTGTGAATCTATCAGGGTTGTGACTTTTGTTTTTGCTTTTGTTTTTTTAAGAGACAAACCTGAAAACTGAAAAAAGAAAAAGGAATCAGTAGTGCCTTCTGATTTGATGGCAGATTTTCTGGTACCCTGGTGAGTCTTAAAACAAACATTCCCCAAAATTCAATGTTGCAAAATGTCCTACTATCCACTATAAAATATATCCATGTCCATTATTTTAACATACATTCAGACAAAGTATTAAAATACAACCAATAGGTTAAAATGTGTTGTTCTGTGACCCTTTGTATCTGTGCTTTTTTCATAGTTTGTGGGTAGTTGTCCTTGAGGTGGAAAAACACTAAACTGCCCAGTTTCTGATCTGGAAATGACTACTTTAAGAGGATTTTTTAAAGTTAAGGTCCATATACCAAGCCCTAAGGCTTAATCCATGTCTACATGCAAGCATAAGAATTGTGACATGTTATGAGGCTGAAAATTCCTATTCTATTTTTAGTGTAGCATATTTTAGTACACATCTTTCACACTCACCAGTATGTGTGATCAGTATCTATTTTGTTAGTTTCATAGTTTATAGACATACAAAAGGGAAATCCGGTTAGTGATGAATAAAATTAGACTCATAGTTTGTCTATTAAATATTGTATCATGTGTACTGAATCTGAGAATGAATCCTCTTAGCTCCTGAATCCTCTTAAGGATAACCCGTGAGTTTCCATTCTCCATACGCTCGCATTCCTGCAGGGCCAAAGTCACTGTGCAGCACCAAGCTGGTGTAGCATCTGGAAACACAGAAAATCCAATACAGATACATTGGTATTATACAGATATAGTGCACCAACTCCTTGAAGATCATTATGGAGCCTTGTAAAAATTATATAAAGAGGAAATTAAAGAAGTTAGGGAGGCTCTGGAAATACCATATTACATGGCTCCAGGAGGCACCAATAGACTTTTTGAAATTAAAAGATGTTTTTAAAAGACATTTTTCTCTAGAAATCATGCAATAACACAACGTAGTAATTAGAGCATGATAATTAGAGCACTTTGAAATATGAGAACAGGAAAAGCACAGGTGTAAATAAAAAGATAAATGAAAGCTGATACTGCTTCAATTTCAGTGGCTGGTATTGTTCATGCCGGCTCACTGTCATACTGTCTCTCTTAGTGCAACGTTTCAAAAGAACAGAGCCATCATTAATGTTATTAGTAACCTGTGCTTTTTCTACTATGAATTGACAAGTCTCTGAGGTGTCTAGATGTACTTAAAAATGACAGAAAATAATGGATTGTTTTGGTCATTTTTGGTAAGTTTTGCTATTTCTATATTGCTGATGTTAGCATTTAATGCTGTTTACTCACCAGTCTAGAAGAAATGTTGTGAGTTCAGCATCAAACCTAATTCCTTTACTCACTAGGAGCTGTCTCCAGTGGTGGAAAGCAACCCTCTAGTTTTACTTCTATTTATTTCACTTCTTTTCTTCTACTGAAGTTAGTATGCTAGCCCATGCTTTCCAATACTGAGTCACTGTAGTTTCCAGGCTGCCCTGAAAAAGTAACACAGTAAAAGTGCTCAGAGGGTGTATTATAACCTCCTGCCTTGTAAATGCAACAATGCCTGAAGCTCTTGGCAAGACTGGTAAGTAAACAACTGTTAATGCTAATGTTGGCTATGCAAAAATAGTAAAACTTACAAATAAAATAGCTGTGCTTGGATTCACAACAGCTTCAATGGATATTTTCAAAATATTTCACAATAGACATCTTTTGCTTTACGCTAGTGGTTAGCAGCTAACCGAAACTGTGAATTTTGAAGTATTTAAAATATAGCTGTGAAATCTTTTTATGGTGACCTGGATGTGGTGTAAAAAGCTGTAAAGATGTTAACAAACATGTTAGCCAACATGTTAGCCAACAGTTGCCTTCTCTCACTGAGCAGACACAGAGCAACATTAGCATTCATTTGGAATTGTGTTTCTTGCCATGTGAAGAAATTAACTCCAATATTCACTCACCTTTTAGTTGTTTCTTTAGCTGCAAAATGCTGTGCTATGTTCACCTGCTAGTATCTGGAGTCAGCTAGACAAAAAGCCACAGGACATATACAAATCATTGATTCATGTAACTTCAAGATTTTTCCAGTCCCTTCATATTAAGAAATAGTACATGTAAGAATTTTGACAGAAGAGTTCTGTGGTAGTTATAGATTCATTCAGCACTGTGCTCTTGCTGTTTGACAGGAAATAAAAAAAACTTGTACTGCAGTTAGACTGTAAATCCATCCCAGTGAATGCATGTTGTAACAGTGTTGGTAATCCCTGCCAAACAGATATCCTGTCTAATCAATGAATGACAGAGATGTTCAGCTCAAATGGTGGCTGTGACTTTATATTTACAAATGATTGTGTGTGCATTCAGTTGGGATGGTTAAGGTCAGGGTAAGGGGCAAAGGAATGTATTATGTCAAAGACAGGTCCCAACGAATATATTAAATATATGTATATTTATTTTAAGCAAGGATGACTTACATTGTGAACGGTCTTTGTGTGATTATATATTAACTAAACTTAGCTTCATCATCAACAAAACTGTTGGATGGATGAAACATTTAAAGATGACTTTACTATTTTTAGATCTTCTTCACTGATATTATAATAAGATTTTTACCTGGATGTTGTATAATTGTATTTAAATTTGGTTTTCAACTATGAAAAAACCTAAATGAATGAGTCAGAGTGATTATTTTCTATTTTCAGCTAGATAGCCTACTAGATGTACTGCAAAGTAAATATTTGTAAATAAAAGCTGTTCCAATATTACAAAAGAGGGTGCTAAATTAAATCCATTATTGAATATGTAAGTCGTCTGTCTTTTGAAGCGTCCCACATTGGTTTATGTGTATTGACAGAAGATCATATACAGCTTCTGTTCATGTCCATAAAATATTTACCTATTGGTGGAAATTTTTTGGTTTAAAACATCAAATGATCAGTGAAGAAGAGGGAAACAAAGCCAACCAATCAGATCCTGTGCCCATGAATATTAAAAAGTTCTTTTTAAAAAGTTCTGTTATTAATGGTGTGGTCAGGTTAGGTAAATTCAAGTCAGGGCAATTTTATTCATGTAGCCCAAAATCAACAAATCATTCTGAAAGGATTTCACTATCTATACAACCGTCAGATCAGATGAGAAAAATTACCCAACAAAACCTTTAACAGGAAAAAAACAGAAGTCTTGAGAGGAGCACCAGAGGGAGGAAAGACAGACATATAGCATATGTAGGTGTAAACAGAAGTAACAATGAAATTATTATAATTTCAAAGATAAATTATGATAATAATGTAGAGAAAGAGAATGACACTACTCAAAATAGTTATTTTGCATTTCAAAAAATTATTGTTAAATTCTCCTTCACAGTAATAGATTGCCTTTACTCTATTTGAATTTAATGGAAGTCAGTGAGACTAAGATATTACACTCAACTTATTTCAGATATCTTTGATTGTGTAACTTGCATGAAAAAATCGCCACATTAACATTAACATTAAATGGTTAGAAATAATAAATAAAAAATCACAGGGATTGTCCTTTAAGATGTCGTAAATGTACTTTATACAGCCTGAGACCACTTTCCCATTCACTTTATATCCCATAACTGCTTGATTGACAATGACAGACAGAATTTGAATTTGAAATTTGACTCTGTTGCAGTTGTTATTTTCCTGTTGCACTAACCACCAACAGACATCAGTTCCAGGAAGCAACTTTTCTGCGTTATCTGGAAATCTTTACTGATTGAAAACCAGAAGAATCCTCTCAAATAACTGAGTAAACCTGCTTCTCACAACAAGCCACTACAGGTACACATCTATGGTAAATTCACTTACATCTGCAAATTGGAAAAAAAGTGAATATTCACTCCTGTAAACAAATGGGGCAGAAAAATAAATGAATAACAAGCCCAAGTTCAGCTACACGTCTGTAAAGGATGATGATTTATCACAGGGTATAATCTCACACACATCCCATGTTTTTATGCCAAAGTTTGAGAGCTGCAGTTTCATTAGAGAAAAGACTGTGTCCAGAGACCTTGAATGACTATACGTCAGTATTTAGGGAAATATTCTATGCATTTTTGCTTCTTGAGTGGATCGATACCAGTTTGCATGCTGAGTATGAGGGGAACTGCCAGAAGTTATCTTATGTAGCTTAGCATGAACACAAGGTAGACAAGGGAAAAGCTAACCTGAATTAGATGTTCTGGTAGGTGGATTTTGTGGCCTCAGGACAGAGGCAGGCTAGCTGTTTCCCCCTGTTTACAGTCTTTGTGCTAAGCTAAGCTAACCAGTTGCTGGCTGTAGCTTCGTATTTATCATACAGACATCAGAGTGGTATAAATCTTCTTATCTAACTCTTGGCAAGAAAGCAAATACATTTGCAAACAAATATATTTCCAAAAAATGCCAAAGCATTCCTTTAAATTTAATTTCAGATAAACCAGTTGATCCTCTGTTAGTTACACAGAATATACACAGACAGACGTTCCCTGCATTAACAACAGGTTACATCCACCAATGTCTAAATGTTCTTGAAACACTACAATCTTCTATCAGATCTTTTACTGGCACTCCTCTTTTACATATTTATATGTATGATTTAGAGAAATGTGCAAAATAATTAAAGCTTGACTGCAGTCTGAGTAATAAGACCACAGGGGGAAAGCAAGTCAAAAGTTCCCGTTCACCTACGTGCCTGGGTAAAAAAGCCCCTAACAGGCCACAGAGTGCCACAGTGTGAGTGACTCTCATTCCCCTGTCATTACTGGATGTTTACGCTGTGTGCAAACTGGCTCAGCTCACCACTCTGCCAGCATGGGGGGGATGTGGACGGATTGTAGCCTCTGCTCTCTGGGCGATGCCGGGGCTGGCGATGCTGAGCAGAGCAGCTGTATAGCAACAGGCAAACAGCTCAACAAAGCGGCAGGTCCTCTGGGGACGTTGTTAGAGCTGCCGCTCTCTTAGGAACAGCGTGAGGAGGCCAAGGCAGCGTGCAATTTATCTGTCAGATGACACACAAAACACACACACATACTGTGCAATCCATAGTGGAAAAAGAGCCTTGGTAGTACTTTCTGTTATGTGAATGTTATAGCTAATCAAGAACCAGAATATAATTTTAAAATATGGAATAAAGCATAAGATACCATCACATTGGCAAGACACGGTAAATAATTTTATACAGCAGATTTCACACTAAAATACAATTCTTTTCATAATGAATTAAAACATTTAAAAGGCAATGTAAAACTCAGTATGCAAAGACAGAGGACTTTTTTAAAGAAAATTAAAACTATAAATAATATAAAGTGGGTCAAGATGAGTGCTTAAAGCTGCTACAATCCATATTTCTATAGTTCATCATTTTGTTTCCAGCAACAGCAGGCAGCTATTTTCAGCATTAAAAAAAAGCTCTGATAAATCCACTGTAGGCCAAAGCAGCCAATGGCATTTTTTTGGACAAAATTACCAACTAGCTCCTAAACATATGGAGCATTCAGTCACTAAATAATCAGACATTTTTCTCAGAAAACTGGTGGAGACCAAACTAGAGCTAAAAGGAGAGTGAATATTAGACTTATTGCCATGTGGCAAGAAGCCCTTTCTGTGTAAATAGGCAACTGTTTGTTCACCATAACACCTTTATAATGTGTTGCATTTATAGCTTGCTCTGCTACCCCCAAAATGGCAAAAAAGTCAAGGCCTTACAACAAAAAGCTCCCTCATTATAGATATGTTGTATGTTGTAGAGGATCAAGTACACAATACATGGTTTTAAAGTCAGGTAAAGTTACTATGGGTCATCCTTGTTGAATAGCCTATAGGGACTCATTATGAGTCCCTAAACAAATACTGTGGTATTATTAAAATTCTTATTAGAAGAGGTTTCTTTTCTTTTTTTCTTCTTATTGTTTTATCAATATTTATTCAGGATCCCTGTTCCTCACTTGTATTTCCAGGTCACTTTGGTGTAATTTCAACACTTTGACTTATGTAAGACTTGCATTTATTTATTCCGTGAGTGGATGAGTAACTTACATCCACCCCAGTTCAGTTAGACAGTGCTGATATGCGTGTGTGTCCATTCATTCAGAAGTCTCGTCCTATTGTTAAATTAAAACTCGTATCTCGGCCCCCTGGTAGTAAATTAGCAGGGTTGCTGGAGGAGACTGGCACCGCACGGGCACACATTTCCACACACATGGGGTAGAGGGAGGGGACATGCTTGTGCGCAATGGAGACAAGGGGTGGGAGGGTGGGGTTGTGGTGTGATAGGGGAGGTGTGGTAGGTAGAGGGGGGGGGGGGGGGGGCTGTATCGTCATCTCAGAGTGTGGCGACAGGGCCCGCCTTGTGGCTTCCTGGCCCCCTGCACCGGACGGGTGTATTATAGATGCACATCCAAGCAGCCGGGCGGCGGGGGCCACTGGACGGGTGCAATGTGAAGGGGTCGGGAGAGACTGGGACACAGCCTTTAACCGCGTGGGAGGGAGGGTTTAACCATTAACCACCATTAACCATTAAGGCAGCTGTGCAGAGCCGGTACCGTACATAAGGCGTGCACACCGGCGTCCACGCCTCAGCCTGAGCGCGTTACCAAGAGCTGGAGGATACATGCAGCCAGCCACACAGAGTCTCTGTGCTCTCACTGCTCATCACTCCGGTTTGTCCGCTTCTCCTCTCTGGACCGCTGACACCAAAAGGTAACTGCCGCCGAGGAGCTTTTTTTCTGACTACCTGCTGGACATTTCAGCTCTAATTTCATAACAGCATGAGCGACCGGCTGTGAGAGTCACGTAATGCCTTTATCTGACGGAATGTGTCACTTAGCGACTCAGACTGCAAAACCCCAGCTGCTTCTTTAGGTGTTTATGTATGCAGATATTGGAAGAATAGAAAATGATTATGCATTTGCATTCATTTTCACGAGTTAAATACTCGTGGTGATAGTGGCAGTGACATGGGCTCCAGCCCGGTGCTGGAACAGAAAGCCCTCTGCCCTTGTTTAAATGAGCAGCAGAATAGAATAGGAGGGCTCGTCTATTCAGCCCTGACCAGGGGAGCACTAATTTACGCCTTTGCCATGTTGGGTTCGGGTGGTATTGGTCCTGACTACTAAACAGCGGATTGTTTCAGCGGGGAAAGCCAGTCTGTGTGCGGATGTCGCAACATGCAGGCTGAGGAAAGCTGCGTCCAGTCCGCAGCAGTAAGGCTGGAAGCGTGCAGCCTGGCCTTCAAAATAAAAGTTTTTGTATTTATTTATTTATTTATTTATTTATTTATTTATTTATTTATGTAGCCTACAAGTTCTGGGAAAATTTACTATTTGCTTAATGGCATCTGTGTCAGATGTGTGTTGTCAGGTCAGGTGCATGGTATTTAGCATCATGTGGCTAAACTGAGCTGAAATCTAATCTGTCAGCTGTAATCACAATAGAGGTCATACTAGGATTACTATTATATCTTAATAATATTTTGTTAGTTATTGCTCCCTTCACCACATCAGATTCAGGACATTATGGTTGTTCTATTGCTTGGTAAATGGAAACAAGGAAAAAATCAGTAAATGTACCAGCCTCACCTCTATTATAATGTCTTTCCACCTCTGTTTCCATGAAGAGGATAAACACTGTAAACACATTTGACAGCTCTGCTGCTTAATGGTTATCCTGGTTATTGACTAGAAGGCAGTGGTTTGCAGATCAGATTTGTTGTTTATTTTAAAGATATTTGAAATTTTCAGTATTTGGTATGACTAAAGAAAATGCATCGTTAGTTGAAAATGTGTTTCTCAAACATATTGTCACATGTAAGTTTGTTTTTCTCATTTGTATAATTAGGACATTTCTATGAGTTTCCTTAAATAAACTTTTTGTGTGGACAGTTGTAACTTTAAATTTGAGAGTGTATTTTTACTCTGCCTGTAGTTTATGCTCGTTAAAGGATGGCAAGGGTTGTTTATTTTGAAAGGCACAACAGGAATTATTGTCCTTGCAATGCTGTTGCTTTGAAGGTGGTGGGATACTCTGTTTCCAGAGGATGTAAGCTGTACCTCTGTTAATGGTAGAATATTTTTAGACGCCGGGAGGAAATTTGGCGTGGGATGAATCTGTTTTCAACCTCACTGTTGGTCTCTCTCCACTTCTGCCATAATGTCAGTGGAGAGGACAGAGCTTTATCCAGGGCTTAAACACTGTAATAGTCTATTACAAGGACTTACATAGCATTTGAGGTACTCAGAGAAGTTAAGGTACTTAAGAAGTTTTTATCATTTGTCTTCAAGATTCTAACAGTTGTATTTTTTTATTGTGGTGCTTAACAGCAAGTTACTTTTTTCATTATTTCTGTGATCAGCTATAATACTCTGCATGTTAGCCTGTACAATGCCTGCTTTTTGTTTTCTATCAGGGGAAATGGAAATGTCTCATATTTAGTACAGTCACATGTAAGACTGAATAATCAATTAATTTGTTCTTTTCCCAGGTGACTGTCCACTCTGGTTGGGAAGTTACTTTTCTGCAACTGGTAATTCAATCCTCGGACTGCAGACCTTTAAATATCTCCCTTGAAAACCTCCCAGCAGCCACGTGGTGTAAGGTGAGACATTCCCAGCCCGGTACACTGACCAGTCTGACATGATCAGTGGACTGAGAGCGTGACCAGTCTGCACTGCAATCTTTCCACTTCAGACCTGTGATTTCAGCTTTTTACTGAACTTTGAAGGACTGTTTTACAAGTGACTGGAGGGGATTTCTGTGGTGAGTCCCCGAGCACATTGTTTTCCTCTCTCATCTGCGTTGAACCATTATGCTTTCTTCTTTTTTTTGTCGGCCCACCGTGAGCACCTTGCAGTGAATGGAGAACATACTGGTTCTGCTCCCGAAGCACCGACAGGAACACGGGCTCTGCAGACACACGGCTGCATGTGCCTTGCTGCAGGTTTTTTCTTACAGAGCAGTTTTCTCCTGGTCTTTAATAGCGACATCCACTCCCTGTAAACCTCTTTAATGGGATAAATCAATTGGACTGATCAGGTTCAAAACCAGATCAGGTAAAAAAAATCCATTCTGACTTCCCTAAAACTGTTAGGCCAAGGCAAGCTGACCTTTCTTTGTCAAGCCCACTGTCTATCAAAGGCTTCCGCATGGTACTTTGGTTGAACGAACAAGACAAACTCCCCGACATCGACATGTCTTCCGGGGCCATTGAAATTAAGAAGGAGGGAGGCCCCCTGACGCCAGCCTTCCTCAACTCCAACTGCTCTGTCCTCCCGGTAATCCTCACCAAAGACCCAGAGGAGGTGAGCCCAGGGACCGGGAATGAGTTTGAGCTCACAGAAGTCACAGCTTTTGCGGAAAGGACCGGTGAGACTGGGGAGGATGAGGAGAGGTCGGAGATTGTGGTGGCGATGGACTGCCGGGCCAACGCCAAAGGTCAGCGGGAAGAGGACGCTCTCCTGGAGAACGCAAGCCAGAGCAACGAGAGCGACGACACCAGCACCGACCAGAGCCCCGAACCACCGGCGCCACTCAAGGAGACCTCCTTCTCCATTGGTCTGCAGGTGGTGTTCCCCTTCCTGCTGGCTGGGTTCGGGACAGTGGCAGCGGGAATGGTGCTAGACATCGTCCAGGTGAGTGATCCAGAAATGTTCTGTAATGTACATAATGAGTATATAGCATATATTTATGAAGAAATGTTCTGTGAGTATAATTAGAAACTTCTAAAGGATTCATCAACAAAAATGGTCCTGCTCTTGTAGAAGTCTAAAGAACATGGATGGAAAAAGATGGAAAGGATGAAGAGGGTGGTGGAGAACTGAACTGTTGTGCACCAACATAATTTAGACTTTGTTGGGAGTATCACAGGATTGCTTGGATTCAAATGTCTGGAAACACTCAGTCAGACCTGAACCTAGATCGTTGAGCTCCACCATACTCCCTTTTCTTAAGTGCAGTCACCTGTGAAAAACAACAGGACCTCCGTCTTATTTAATCCTCCAGTAACGTTCATCTACAGTTGTGTTTCTGAGCCGAGCCAGTGCTCCAGGCGGACCATGTGTACTGAGTCAACATGTGGGATGGGCTCGTTCCTGGAGCATTTGAATGAACTGGTTTAGTGAGCCCTGTTCGCCTTGGCATGTGTCTGCTGCTGCTGCTGGGCCTATTTCATGGCATGCCTTTGGGAATGGGTAGATGGGGCAGTTGTCACACACCATGGGGTATTTACATAACGCTCTTTCTCCTCTATGGCCTGTTTCCCTGTCCCTCGGGGCTGTCACATACTGGTACACAGTGTGTCTTCTAATGGCCTGTCACACACCCTTCTATTGGAAATCTGACATACTTTGCTAGAATAGAAACTTGAGGAGAAGGTGTTCATTGTGGTGCAGTGTAGAGAGAGAGCTGCTGGGTCCACTCTGCCTCCGAGAGAAGAATATAAACCAACTTATAATTTCTGTCCTTCCTTCTTTTCCTGTTGACTGGCTGCAGTTGCTGTCTTGCATCTGAGTGCATCTGAGTGTGCAATGTGGAAATGCGGGCCAAAGCATGCTGACAGGTCATATATTCCTTTAAAGTCAGCTTGTGATGCATATAAAACTGGAGGTGTCAGGCTGCCAGGAGACCAGTCCAGGCACATTGTGTACACGCATACTGATGCCAACATGGTGGACCCCAGGAACTCGGCACACAGAGGAGGGGGACAGGCAGGGAAGTTAGTGTGGTTTCTTTGAGCACCTGAAATGGCAGCACACTACAGTCGAGCTAGTGAGGGAAAAAAACAAAAACAAAATACTGTGTGGTGTCAAAGCCTCCATTACCATGTGGTTAGGTATTCTCACTAAACCAGGAATGCAGAGGTTTGAGGTCAAAAAGTTTTCATGCTGCCTCAACTTAGGCACCATGCTGCTGCAGTTTCTCCAATTTCCAAAACACTCAGTGCACTATTCCTTTAGAGGTAAGGCAGTGAAACAGGAGATACAGATGGTACAAGGTCTTATCTTTCCCTTCTAGTCTGCGGGCAGACCTTGGAAGAAATGCTTGCAGCAAGATGCAGAGCGAGGCTCGTCTGAAGCGACTGTTCTAGTGAGTTCGGCTGAGCATCTAGCAGGTTGTCTCACTGCCTAATTCCCCCTCCATGACACCGTGAAATGCTAACTCAGCTAATCCTCCCTGTCCTTGCAGGAAGGTAATTGTCTAACTCTCTCTCACTCTCTCTCTCCCTCTCTCTCTCTCTCTCTCTATGGTTTGGTCGGACTGCGCCAGTTCCTTTGCTAAAAGTACGTTTTGAAAACTGTAACGTTCTACAGTCTTTAGTTAAAGTGTCTGCCTGGCCTGAGTTTAGAAGTTGTGGCTTGGACCAGCGCATGACTTGGCTTTTTGCGTCACTCTCTATAAGACGTCTTTGAAATTCGACCGCTTTAACGTTGGCCACTTTGACTATATGCAGCACAAACACGCAGAGCTTCTGGCCTCATTCCCACTCGAGGTTGGCCCAGAAAGGACTGTCCAGGCTGGTATAGAGGAGTGAGACGTCTGCATAGTTCTGCTTAGTGACATGGTAGCAGCAGTAGCAGAATGACCTAAAACTGTCAGTCTTTAACTGCCAGGGCCAGAAACAGGGTTTGAGGGTGACCAGCTTCACTTGGACTAAAGGTTGCACATGGTTTGTAAAGATCATGTAGAGCTAGTTTTGTGTCAAAGTGTCAAAGGCCAAATGGATGATTTGTAAAGAGTCAAAAGACCCAGTTTGAGTTTCTATCACCCTACGATTCCTTCGTCTGTGCAGTCAAACAGAAAACCAATAATGCAAAAAAAAAAATAAAGTTCATAATCATAATCATCTCTGTGTTTATGTCTGCCTCAGAGTCTAGCCGTCTGCCCTGTGCTGAAATGCCAAAGGATGGGACACAGCTTCAGCCTAAAAAACAAACAGTCTAAAAATACAGGCTCCAGTAAACAGGAAATCGTAGTTGACACAAAGGTTTAACACCAGCCAAGCCCTCGCTGCCCACCAGCCACCATTTTGGTCCAACCACATCCACTTGCCTGGTTTTCACACATGAACCACTGTGAAACCAGAGCGTGGGCTTATTCCCTCAAACTGAATCATCCTTCCAACTGCTGGCTTCCATCCCTGGCTCTGAACCAGCTCATATTCAAATGTATGCAACTGCTTGGCTTGACTCAGAAATCCTATTTCTTCCAGGATTTATGATTATTGTAAAAATATATGATCTAAGGCCCTGAAACAAGTGGTTTTTTCAAAACCTTCCATGGTGTCCAACCAACCATTTGCACCTCCTGTTGCACTGATTGATTGCTTCTATTCATATTGGTCAGTTATTTTACGGCAGCTGATGACAGAAGATGTTATGTCATGACAATCATTAACAACATATCAGCTCACAGCTATTAACACCTGACAATGTCCCAGACCGCCTCTTGGTTAGGATGTGAGTGATAGAGATTGAAAGGATTAGCCGGTTAGAATGCTTTTGTGTTGCACCAAGCCCTGGCTAATCTTTCACTCCGTCCAGGATCCTGAGGAATCCTTGGAGGGTTCCAAGTTGCTTGTCCGGATGGACTCCCTCTGGTCAGAGAGTTCAGGCTTGACCCTTGGATATTAACAGCCCATATCTCAGGCCCATATCTCAGGCTTCTTTAGCTTGATCACACTTTTTTGTGTACATATGGGAAACTCTTCTCTCCTTATCCTCCAACACAAAAATCCAACTGAAATCCAATGAATCTGGTTCCTCAATGTTCATCCATTTAATACCAGTAATGATGTTGCATTGCTGATGTTCATCTTTTGGGTTCAACTCTATACCCATTAATCTTGGCCATTAATCTATGTTCGTTTGACCCCTCCTGCGTGTGTTACCACGTGAGGCTGGACTCTGAGTCTACCATTCATGCTGCACCACCAGGAAAATGGAAATGGACACCACCTGATGTAGTTTCTGTGATGCTGCCTGAGTTGCGTTGACATTGCATGCCATCAGGCTCAGCTTCCTACTCAGTACAGCAAGTACAGTGATCACAAATAAAATGGGGCCATGTTACTCAACTGGGCAACCCGACCCTTGTGGGGCTTGCATACCAGAGCTCCTATAGGTCTGTACACAGAGGTACTGGGGTTGTCCTGTAGAGTTCCTAGAACTGAGGAGGTGGCCGTGAGGAGGGAGGGCTTGTTTGGCTTGAAGCCAGTGTTCCATGGAGACAACAACATATATCACCACGGGGAGGCAAAGAGGGAGATAGGGGAGTGAGACAGAAGTAGAGAGAGGGAGAAAGCTTGAAAGCATGCGGCTGTGAAAGAAGAGAGGAGTGCTCACAGAGGTGCTCACAAGGCTGCTGGGTTGGCAGAAGGCAGGGAGCCAAGCTGAGGGGCTGGCTGTTGGAAAGGAGCTGTGCTTGGCCCGATGACAGCAAGGGGATAGGCAGAAGGAGTTTAACCCAAAATTGGAGTTTAGGTGCCACACCTACTGATACAACACACTCTGAAGTGTAGACGACACCCCCTTATCAGCACTGTACATCTGGATGCACAGTGGGAGCAACACAGTGAAACAGAAACAGCGAGCTAGTGTGAGAAATGCAGGCCAACAGTGTTTATATGTAGCTTCAATGTCGGCTACTCCTCTATTTTCCTCCCCTCGTCTATTTTCTCCTCTGCCTCTCTTTTCTTTTCTGTGTCAGCCTCAGTGAATATTGATTCAGCTCGGGGTGGACTGGACTGTAAGTGCTGGGGGCCTGTGGGACCGGCTCCAAAGATAAGCACTTTTGCTGGAGAAAGATCGATGGCCTCGGCCTCAGCAATAGCTTTGTTTCTGACCACAGTAGACCACAAACCTGCTATCACTGCATGAACTCTCATGGAGGCACAGCATAGAGAGGCACTTCACCACACTGACAAGCTCACAGGGAGCCCACCTCTCAAGGACTGGCTGTCAGTAAGGGAGGAGGTTATCTGGGACCAGGGCTAATATTATAGGCTATAAATACCCCATTAAAGGCCATCTACTAGGCTGAGTGGACACGTTTTCTAGCACATGCTAAACATGATTTGTGTTTCAGAAAGCCCACCACCTGCACAAGCTGTCCTTTAGATTTACCTGGTCTAGCTTCTAGCTGACTTTGTTTCACACTATGACACTTTGGCTCTGGGGGGAAAATAGCAGCAAAATTTAGCTCCTTTATGCTGAGGTAGGGGCGGAGCAGCAAGGACGGCAATGTAATGCTAGTCCTTATGCTGAAGTACTGTGATGAGTCTTTAAAGGTCCCATATTTTCCCCTTCTCCTGTGTTTTGAAGTGTTGATCCATAAGAAGATATATTTGTGGTTTTAAGAACCAAAAACCATCTCAATATAGTTTTACATCTCCTCTCTCAGGCTTCTCTCTGGAGCTCTAGTAACAACAGGTCAGTGAGCCAATCAGAAGAGAGGAGGCTCTGCGCCTCTCTTTTGATTGGCTGAGTGTTTTCTGAGTGATCAAATAAAAATATAGCAGATTTCAGGTAAATAGTCAGAGAAACCAAATCCTGCGAGGTTGGATGGTGGGTACAGGTGGGCGGGGCTTGGGGCATGGCTGAGGGCAGAGACTGCTATACACAGAAGTTGCTGGTTGCTGGTTGCTGGGAATGTTTTTCATGATGTTAAAAGAAATTTAACAATTTATTTCTGAATGATGAGTTACAACAATTGCTGCGTCCATCTCCTGTATTCACACTTGTTTTCATGGGAGTCGCAAGGTAGCTAGCTAGCTAGGCTCCCATTCTTGAACCAGCCTACTAAGCTCCAGTTGGCTGACTGTTTCTCCAACTAGAGGAAATGCCATCAATGAGCACAAAAGTAGACCTGTTTGAACAACAAATTGAATATATGCTTGGAAATTCAGAGGTTTGGAACCAGGCTAGAAACTCTACATGCATTTAAAAGAATACATGAAATTAATTTTATACAGGGATCAAAGGTCCCTCCAACAGAGAGGACAGTAGTCTGGTTTGATTTTTTCAGACTGTGCAGTATAAATGTCAGTACTAATGGTCAATATTCAGAGTTCATATCTGTACCACACATGTATTGACAGAAATGTTAAAATTTGCTTAACTAATAACATTATTATTAACTGGTGGTGTGTATCTAAATACCATGGAGATTATAGTGAGATATGAGGTGGTAAGCAGAAGTAGGTGAAGATTGGTGAGTAGAGGTGGAAGAGGGGAATCACAAGGGAGAGAAGAGTGAAAGCCAAAAGAGGACAATAATAAATCATTTCACCATTAAGCCCCGGTGACCTTGTTCTTGTTAAAGGAGAGCCGATATGATACATAGTGTGAAAGGTCTGTAGAGACTATCTGGTCCATCATAAAGGTCTGGTTTCACCACTGAATCAATATGAAAGAACAAGGTCACAGAGAACCAGAGACATTCTGCTCCCAACTAAGGAGTCACTCTGTCTATGTGAATCTGATATCAATATGGCAGTGTAGTTACTATGTTGTGTTATTGATATCATATGTGATTGTTGCAGCACTGGACAGTGTTTACGAAGGTGTCGGAGGTGTTCATCCTGGTTCCAGCGCTGCTTGGGCTCAAAGGCAACCTAGAGATGACGCTGGCCTCCAGACTTTCCACAGCGGTAAGAAACGAGTGTGTGTGTGTGTTTGTGTGAGAGTGTGTCCCTTTGTTGTGTGGAGATATGTTCTCGCCATCCTGAATTAAGAAATTTACATGATGTCCTGCCAGCAGTGTCATAGTTTGTATTCTATTCCGTTAAAAAATCATTCTGTTTGTGTAGTAGTTACATCTATAGTTTTTTTTTCATTATTTTCCTTTGTATAAAACACGAAAATTCCTTGTCTAATTTTAGCCTGGAGAATTGTTTTCAATTCATTGTGGCTGTCTAAAGCCTTTCCACTCAAAAATTACCCAATCTGTCCCATTGCCTCTTCCCTCTAAGACTGTCGGACCCATTAAAACCCATTAAAGCTGATTGTTCTCGCTGGTCAGAGGTCATATTGCCAAACGTGACTTGGGTTTCAGGCAAACTGATAGCAACATTCCTGCCCTCTTCTTTGTTTTTGAACATTTTTGCTGACCCTGCCCGCCCTGTTCACCTGACTACACAGGTTGGTTTGCTGTTTGAAGCTCATAAAAGCAGGTCTCTCAAGTTTTCATCTCTAAAACTGAATGTTGATTATCTCAAACATCCTCCGCTGAGTAGCCAGAAATAATCTGAACAAAATGTATTTGCATTCCTTTGAACTAGTGAATAAAATAGTGATCTTGTCAGACAATATAAGACAGTATGTAAAGTAGAGATGAAATTAACATTGTGCTAACTTGGATGCTGTTTTTTGGCTTGCTAGCTGTGTTTGATTTAACCAGATATTGGTTCTTAGTGGTCCTGTAATTATAGCTAGCTCTCCTGCTGGCTATCCACATTCACCTTTAAGGCAGTTAAAAGCTGTTTTGTTCATGGTACACAGTTTCCACAAGTAGAATTTGATGCTATAGGTACATAACATCTGTCACTTGTAGCTTCCACAGAGCTCATTGCTATAATGCCTCTTTCTGAGCTAACAGTATTGTCCTTTGTATAGTCTGTGGGGTCAATGACCTAGCAGCATTGCTAACCAGTGGATAGCAGCACAACCCTTACTTACGAAGACATAAGAGAATTAGCCCAGTATTGCTCTTAAGCGCACCAATCCTCACATTCTTTCCACTGGCCTGAAGGAAACAGGTGACGAAGCTAATTAGCATCGCTAGCAGCGGCCCACCCAGCGTGGACGACTCAGCTCATTCACACTACAAGAATAATCTAATGAAACATGACATTTAGATTTAGTCTGACAGTTTTCAAGTCTTGAAACAAGTGAACACTGGGATAACATACTCCACATTCATGTGTTCCCAGTGCAGTGTGTCTCCAAATAGTTCTATATCCTATTCCATTGAGCTACAAGCATTCGCCACCAAATTTCTAAATCCTTATTGTATCAACTAAATTGATTCAAATTGAATCAAAGTCATGAGACAAGTAAATCTATAACATACAAATCATACAAATCATGATAAAAGCTGATTTTGTATGGAACTGTTTAAACACATTGACAAAACTTGTATTTAAAAAAAAAATATATATATATATTACACATATATAGCGCAGTGGTTCCAAAAGGATTTGTCAATCTGCAGAGTTTTCAGTTGAGTATAAAAGGATTCCCACATCCATCATGACAAAGTAGGCCAGAGTCTGGTGTTTGTCCTAAGACATAGCTGTTAGCTCTCTGCTGGCTGGCCCCAGCAGGACCACGTTTCTTTCCACGCCGCCGCTAATTATGAGCAGATTAAGACCACTGTAAGTTTCCTAATGCGCTTATTACTGAAAAAAATAATGTAATCCCTAGTACTGGCTGGCTGTAGGAGTTTGTATTTCACATGACTGTGTTTCCTTTTTCCTTTTTCCTTTTTATTTTTTTTTTGGTCTTTTTAACCTCTTTGTCTTTGAATAAATTTACTGAAATTGAGCCTTTCCTTGTTTTTCATAATTGTTTGACTAAAAGAAATAAGCAGTTGCTTTCTCTGTTCTGTCTCATTCCCTCTTATGTTATTGAGCTTAATTGATTGTAGGTATTTGGATTGTAGGATTTTTTGTGAATTACTGGAACTTGGCAGCACCTGCATGGCAACTGTTGCCAAAAATACAGCGTAATCAGAGATTACAACAGCTACTAAAAGTCTACTTTATTCTCATTTTATGTGTATTAAATGTTTCAACATACATTCCATTCATGTACTGTATGTTCAGCCTTGTAAATAACAGGTTTACTCCTAGAAAATGAATGTCATTATTACTCATCTACAAAATGTATTGATGCTTTTGAAACTTGAATGGTATTTCAGCCTCTCATGCGTCTAATGTTGTCCGTGAATCACTTTCACAACATTCACAGTGAATCCATCTCAGTGATGATCCAAACACCACTAATCCAGCCGCCCACACACAAACCAAAAGCTGAGGACTTGGCATCATATTCACCCACCATCACATAACACCAGACGATGCTTCTGTGAATTCCTGAGCTTCATCTGTTTGCATGTTGTTGTTGTTCTAAAAGCTAATTTTGCAGAAGTTGCAACAGCTTTTGAACCGTTAAAGGCTGAAATGAAGGCTTCTTATCTGAACTCCTGAAATCTTTTGGAGATAGTAGTTCTGCCGGAAAGCAGCTATATGCCTCTCTTTGCATGTAGAGTTCGTTGTGAGTCTATGATGCCCCCAGTGCTCTGCACAGATGTTTGGTTTTCTCTTATCTCTCCGCCTTAAACCTTCTTATCAGTTTTTGTGGCAGTCTGCCCCCTCTGAACGACGGCATGGCTGTCGTTGCAGGAGGCATCCGTGTACAAATTGACATGGTGCCGATGAGTGAGGAGTATGTTTTCGCGGTTGTAAAAGCTGTGTATCTGGCACAAACACAAGTTATCATGACGCACAGTCCAGACATGTCAGTCAGGCTTGTGAGTTTTCCCTGTCATGCTGCCAGACATAATCATTAAGTGAGGACGGTGCTTGTCGTGAGAAATTCAAGAGGGAGAGGAAAGCCACACACACACACACACACACACACACACACACACACACACACACACACACATACATATTTAAGAAAATATATTTAAAGAAAAATAATATTAACACACAGTCACTGAGACCATGTCATTACTGCTCATCATTATTATTCAGTGCTGAACATACTTCTGTTTTATATGTCCATTTAAATACACTTTATTCAAACAAGCTAACAGATACACAGTCATGAGTTGTACTAGCTAACACCTTGGCAAACATTTGCTTTCTTACACATCTCAATGACACAGAGCAACATTCACATTCATTTTGGAGTCATGTTTGTGGCCAGCTGTCCAATCAGAAAGTCAAACATTTAGTTCACTTCGTCCAGCTCTGTTGTGGTCTCTGTGGGAAACATATGGCTTTAGCTAGTTGCTAACTTTGGATGAAATGACAGCCAGCAGAGGTTTTTGGGAGCCATGAGTACTAAACAGTAGATTTGCTGTAAAACTACAAAGGTTAATAATAAAAGGGTAAAAGCTTTTAATAAAAGGCTAATAATGATGATAATAATGATAATAATAATAAGCTAAAAGAGCTTTAAATGTTCAGTAGAGCTTCTTGGTGATACCAGCACTATGCAACACTTGGGCAAGCCATTTGATTCACTGTTCATATCCACAATATTGAGCAATGCAGGTTTAACATAGACACTTAAAGGATAATTCCACTTTATTTACAGCTGAGGTCTCATGTTTTTAACCATCAATTATACTGGTAATAATAAGATTATACAAACCCAGGTCTGAAAACATTTCAACATAGCTAAAAAGAAAAACAAACTCCCAGTCAAAGGTATTCAGAAGAGAACACAAAGGAAAATGGACCTCAACCGTCTGACTCAAACATCAATAACAAAACAGCATTCAGTTTACTGAGCCGCCTGGTGGCCTCATAACGTCCTTAGTTTATTTCATGCCATTTCCCATCTCACTCTGCCTTGATTTCTTGCCAGCGCTCTACTTGTCTACTCAATAAAGGAATAAAATTTTAAATAAACACCCAGCTTATTGGTTCAGCTTTGACCTTGCTGTAGGCTAATTAGTGTAGTTTTGCGCACACACAGTTTTCCTGCTGAGGGGTTCACATTTCTTTTTAATCATTATTTATTATATTATTTATTTATTTAACAGAAGAAAAATACAGTGCCTGTGACATAACACTTCATACCCTGAAAAATTTCAGTTTCAATAAAGCAGTATTTTTCTCTCCTTCCTTTCCTTCCAACAGTTATACTCTGTGAATAACACTTAAAACATAATTAGTTTTATGCATACATACATATATACATATATATATATATATACAGTATATATATATATTATCTATCTATCATGAATTTCCCCTAGGGGATAAATAAAGTATCTATCTATCTATCTATCTATCTATCTATCTATCTATCTATCTATCTTATACGTGTTTATTTGTATATACATGCGCAACCCTTACCTCCATCTTTTTTTCTTCTTTTTTTTTTTTTTTTATTAAACTCAAGCATGGAGCAGATAGGTGTTTTTATGGGCCCAGATGTTTCCCTTCCCTCTGCATATGTAAATGTTGTGGGACAGAGAGGAAGAGGAGATCCTCTGTTTGTGTCCTCTCACTGTGGATGAGCATTAGGATCATTGCTCTGGACACACAGTGGCCCACTGTAGCCACAGCCACTTGACGCTTGAGACCATCAGTTTGTGTGTATACGTTTGTGTGTGTGCGTGTGTGTGTGAAAGAGAGGAGATGAGATAAGTGGAGTCGGCCGCAGGGTGGGGGATCAGATCAGAGTGTCTTTGTCCAGAGAACTGACATCTTATTGTTTTGATGGGACCAAGAGGCAACAGCATGTACACACGCTGTACACCCACACATACACACACACACACACGCGCACAAACACACAGACATATGGAGATGATAATTTGCTGACCTTGTGTGTTCTTTGCCTCTTTCAGGCCAATATTGGTCAGATGGACACAGCCAAGGACATGTGGAAGATGATCATGGGGAACTTGGCCCTCATCCAGGTAACGGATACACAGCAATACATTCGAGTGTAGTGTCACAGAGCAGCTCTGACCACGCTAACATGCACTTTAACAAACCAGGTTACTGAGAAAAATCTGATTAAGGCAAGAAATCAGATAATGAGTTTATATATGCATCAGATTTCTCTAAAACTCAGCTTTCATGCAGTTAGTGAGTAATCAGATGTCTCGCCTATTTCAGCTCGAGTTCAACTATTTTAGATATCAGGATGACAGCTACTAGTAATGATCATGTTTGTCACAGCAACATGATCTTGTTTTGGTGATTTCTGCCCAAAAAAAAAGAACAAACAATCAAGCTTCTTCAACAGAAACAGACCCAATTATCTATTAATGTATTACACTGATGAGGAAAACAGTGTCTCAGGGATCAAGTTACTGCCAAACCTGGGAACAATCAGGTTTCATAAGTGCTCAGTGTTTACAGTAAACACAATGACTTATCACGAGTGGACACAGAAATAACACTTGTGTAATGTATGGCAGCTCCCGAACATGAGCTCTCGTCAGAAATCAGAAAAGCCAAATATAATCTCAAGAAAGCACATAATTAGTTCAGACACACCTCCCACTCACTATCTGATCTAACTGCAACTACAGAATAATTCAAGTATAAGTTGTCCCACCCTAACCCAGTTAAGCTCGGATCTCAAAAACAACTTATATCTGGTGGTAGAAGAAAAGTGTAGGAGCTAGCACGGCTAACAAGCTAATGTCAGCATTTTGTGAATTGCAGCTACACAGCTTTTTCATCAAACACCTTATTGTAATGAGTTTCTACTATTGCCCCTGTACGCACTCTGCCTCTTCTTCTCTGCTGCTGCTGCTGCAAACAAACTAAACAAGGAGATTAAGAAACTTTCCATATTTCCTGAATGAGAACTTCACATTCACGTTTCATCAATTCAGTCTTAAGGTTAAAGGTCCCATATAGTGTAAAGGTAGATGTCCATGTGTTGTTTTATTATAAAGCAGGTCTAGTTTCTATATTAATACTGTGAAAGTATCAAAGTGCTCAATCCACAGAGAAATGCAAATGATTTGGTTTCTCTAAATGTTTATTTGAAATCTGCTATATTTCTATTCAGTCACTCAGAAAACAGTCGCCTCACCGACCTGTTGTTGCTAGAGCTCCAGAGAGAAGCCTGAGAGAGGAGATGTAAAACTACACTGTGATAGTTTTTGGTTCTTAAAACCACAAATATATCTTCTTATGGATCAACACTTCAAATAAAACACTGTGGAAGTGTAAATATATGAGACCTTTAACTCAAACACTCAACCAACAGAGGCAGTTGCTTGTTATGAATGGAGAGTAAAATGTGATTGGGCCAAAATGTGATGTAACGTGAACCTGAGCAGAAGTCTAATCAGCAGGAATAACTGAAAGTATCTCTTCCTCCTGTTGGTATCTATATAGGTACATTATATGTATCGAATATCAATATTTGGTATTTAATTTCCCAAAACAAGCTGTTCATTTGCTCTTAGTGAATCAGTCACCTCTCTGCCATTTGAAGTGGGCTTGTTGTTATGTAATGTTTGGTAAGTCCATAGTTCCTGGAACACTTTAAACCAGTGCTGGCTGGGTGCTGACACAACCTCCTATTTAGGGTGAGCGTGCACTCACTGGTTCACACTGGTGCTCCATGAAGACAGTTGAACTGGAGAATCCAGATTTAGATGGATGTGTTAGTTGTTTTGTTGGTTTAGTAGCTTGTCACAGTCTAATGCTAAGCTAATATGAGTGAGTGAGTGACTGATGAGGGTGTTCTCTTGAGTCCATAATGTTAAATGAGTGACTTTTTTTTTTCATATGAAGGCTGTGTAAGCTTCAACAGTGAGTAGCTTTCATCTGGAGTTTACATGTAGACTGCTTTCAACAGCTGCATGAATCATTGTAATGCGTGCAGGTCCAGGCCACAGTGGTGGGGTTCCTGGCCTCCATAGCTGCCGTGATCTTCGGCTGGATCCCAGAGGGGCACTTCAGGATGGGCCATGCAGTGCTGCTGTGCGCCTCCAGTGTGGCCACCGCCTTCATAGCCTCTCTGCTGCTAGGTACGACTGGACTTCACTTTATCGTCAGAATGTTTTTCGAGAACGCTGAAGAACAAAAATACAAGATTTAGCTAAACAATAAAACAAGTGCTACAAAGCTATATTACATCAGAAATTATAAACAAGCAACTGCAGTGAAATCAGATCATTTAGTGCTTAGTCTACACAGGTATACTGAGGCCAGCTTATAGCCCAAACTCTGATTTAGTACATGCTAACATGCTCACAGCATGTTAATATTAGGTCATTAGCAGTTCATTTGAGGCTGGTGGGAATATCTTTTACATATGTTTGTGTTTGTGCAATGTGTTTTGCAGGTATTTGGTCAAAAACCAAAGTACTGGACAAATTACAGTTTTCACCTGATGATGGTTCTAGAGGAAAAGTTTAGAGATCACAAAAGTGATTTTATCCTGATGGAGATATGAACGTGTGTCCCAAATTTCGTGGCGATCCATCTGATGAATGTGGAGATATTTCACTCAAAACCACAAATGTCAGCCTCATGGTGCTATTAGATTAAAAGTCAGGGGATCTCCAAAGTCAGTAAAATTCATCCTCTGAGGATCATGAATACCTGTACAAAATTTCATGCAATCCATCCACCATTGTTGAGATATGTTTAAGGTGGTGTATGGACCGACGGATATTTCCATTCATGCTAGCAAAGCTAAAATTGGTCCTGCAAAATGTAAGGTCAAACTCCGATTATAAAAATCACCATTTGTAGCTTTGTAATTCTGTTTATTAATGGATTTGATTAACTCATCAGCTTAATTCTTATTTTATTAGTGTTGACTGTGTTCTAAACTGTCCAGTCAGCTCACAGCTCCTCTGGTCAGCAGCTTCAGATCTTGGTACTTGTTTTTAACCTTGAAGTTTTATTTTTTTCCAGTTTGAACTTTCCTGAAAAACAAAAAGGATACCATTCTAGTCTCTTGGGGAAAAAGAAAGATTTCACCCTTGACGACAACATTTTCTACTCTTTGTTTGCTTGTTACATTTCTTCAAACCATGAGACATTAATGCTGTGACATCTCTGACCTGAAACCCCACAGGGCTCATCATGATCGGTGTGATCATCGCATCCAGGAAAGTCGGCATCAACCCCGACAACGTGGCAACACCCATCGCTGCCAGCCTGGGAGACCTGATCACCCTGTCCCTGCTGGCAGGCATCTCAACAGGACTGTACAAAGAACTAGGTAAAACACTCACGCACACTGTTCTTTACATCTGACACAGTCAGACATTTTAGTTGTTTACAGTTTACAGTACATACTGTGCAGGGTTTACTGAGCTGTGAAGTGTCGTGAGGAAGTTTATTGAGGGGATTGGATGTAAAATATATTTATGTGAAGTTAATTAGTGTGGAAATGTTGTTGCTCTTTCAGCTTTAGTCGGATACAAATAGTGTTTCCTTCTTGTCAGGAAAAGAAAATAATAGGTGTCACATACACCTATTATTCTTCTCAAGTAATAATTCCATACATAAGTAACACAATGACAGAATAAATGACTATTTTGGTTCATGGGTTTCAAACACTTTGTGTAATAAAAAATTTAAAAGCAAAAATCTTCTCAAATGGCGGTCTGTTGTCTAATTTGTGTCAATTTAGGGTCCTTAAGGTGAAAAAAGTTTGAGAGCCACTAACATACACAACAGTATCAAATCAAGCCTTTAATTAGTTTCCAGCAGTATCTCCCAAATGAGCCAGAATCATGTATACAGAGCCAATATTTCAGTGAGAGTTGCTGCATTAATGATGCGACTTCAAGCGCCTCTATTACCTTTGAAGCTGTTATCATAAAAAAGCAGCAGCGTGTGTGTAGAAGTGTGTGAAATGTGCCTCAGTGTCCGGCTGTGCGTGGTAAATAAGGATGAAAGCTGCCCACATCTAACCTCGCTGTGTTTTCAGGGCGAGAAACTTTATTGTTAACTCCCCACTGCTGCTGCGTTTCCACACACACACACACACACACACACACACACACACACACACACACACAGACAGACAGACAGAAAGTCAGACAGACAAACACTGACACACACACGAGTGATGAAACCATCCTGACCAGAGTGTGGAGTCATCCGTCTGAGACCAACGTTCCAGTCTTACTCTCTTTAACTGCCTCAGTCAGGAGCTATATTCAGCTCAAACACAAAAACACAGCTGGTGTTTGGGTCTTCTGTGCATACAGTACATTGTTTGTCTGCTTAAACATTGTGTTTTCAGTGGTTTGTAGTCTCAGTGGTCTGTGGTATCAATTTAGCAGTAACACTGCCTCCTAGAGACAAGACCAGGTATTTAATGTCAGTCCAACTCCAGCTCAGTTCACCTATATTCGTTTTATTATAGTCAAGATTAGGTGTTACCTGGTGCACTGATATCTGATTTTAAAGTTCAAATTTGTGAAGCACGTTTACATTCTTGTGTGTTTTATTTGATTTGGGTTTCATTTTAATTAACTCTAACGTACTTTTGTCTTCAACATCAGCAACATCGATCTAAATATGTACAGTCCAGGCCAGTATTTGGGCAATTATTTAAATTCTTCAGGCTTCATCATCTTCAATTTGAAATAAAATAATAGACACTACATTAAAGTCTCAATTTAAATTCCAGCAGGTTTACATCATTATAAAAAGAAGTGTGTGGGAGATATAGTCCTTTAACACAGTGCCCAAAGTTTAGAGGTTCAAAAGTAATTGAAAAGATACACATGAAGTCCTAACAAAATCATCATATTTAATATTGTGTAGAAAATCCTTTGTGGCCTGAAGTCTTAGACCTGTAGACGCTTTGTATCTTCTCTGGCTCTCTCAGGTCTTCACTGCAGCCTCCTTGAGCTCTTGCTCGTTGTGGGGTCTCTCTGTCTTTACTCTGGTCTTCGGCAGGTGGGACACAGCTCAGTCAGACTGAGATCAAGAGGTTCTGGTCATGAAGGCTTGATCGTTGACACAGAAACATGTCGGCCTACAAATGGCAACTATCAATAAACTCTGAGCCTCGTGTGAGCTCTTTACTATTGGACCTCTAAACTTTTGTTAGAAGGACTGTATCTCCCACGCAGCTCTTTCTACCTTGATGTAAAGCTACTCAAAGTAAACGTGAGACTTGTTACTTTAATGTAGGATCCATTTTTTTTATTTCAAATTGAATGTGCTGAAGCTCAGAGCCTGATGAACAAAAAAGTGTCCAACTGTCCAAACAATAGATTTGACTATATAATTATTAGAAATATATTATCTTCAGTATAGCAACATTCACTACAGAACCTTCAGAAATGTCTACAATCAGTAGACCAGTATTTACTGTTCACAAATGCCTCATTTCTGCCTCATTTTCCTTTGTGTGACACCTGGCAACGGGAATGATGGGAAATGTAATCTTAATTTGGAGGAATACTAAAACTGTTGCTGTAAGACTGTGTCCAGTTATTATCCCCATCATGACTGTACCTGTTGCTGTGGCTGACAGTGAAAGTGGATGATAAACTAGGCACAAAAACTTATTTGGCTGAGATTTCAATACAAGAAATAATCCATGGATTTCTGGAGTAAATCCACTTTTTTCTTCCTTCACAGAGTTCAATGACTATGCCAACCCGCTGGTGTGTGCAGTGTTTGTGGCCATGTGCCCCCTATGGGTGCTGATAGCCAGGAAGATCCCATCCACCAGGGAAGTCCTGTACTCCGGCTGGGAGCCGGTCATCATCGCAATGGCGATCAGCAGGTACAGCAAGCAGGGATCACTGTCTTTATTTAACCTTTATCTAATCAGGGCAACAGTCAAACAGAAGACTGTTCACATGCTATAAACATACACTCAGATACTGTCACTCTATTCCACTGTTTAATGCTGTTTTTAACGTAATGCCATTTCATATATATGCAAATCAGTGTTTTCTGTCTCCATTTTCAAAACACTGCAAGTAAAATATAACTCCATTTACTACTATTGATTTACAGACTGTGTGTCTGAGACTCTTCAGTGTGTGATCGATAATTATTTCTGTGTAATGATGATCATGAACTGAAAGCAAAGATTTCAGTTCTTCCCTCTTGTCCGTCTTTTAGTGTTGGTGGTCTGATCCTCGACAAGACCGTCACCGACCCGAACTTTGCTGGCATGGCCGTCTTCACCCCGGTCATCAACGGTAAGGAGCTTTTTTTAATTCACACGAAAACAGTAATGATGCCTCTGGGGAGCGTGGGTGATCCCAACAGCAGAGAATAAGTTACAGGAATAGGAAAAAAAAAACAAGTGAGTGGTGTAGATAACAGCAGCTAAAATGCTAATTAGTAAAATAACAACTATATACAGTATAAATATAAAGATGGAGGTTGACATGGATGTTTCATTGCTGGAGACGGGGAACAGATATAGAAAAGTCTGTTAGTATTAAATGTGGGTTTAAATCTGTTTGCTATGTGATCTCCTAACAGATGGGGGTAGCATATTGCTTTCATATTCAAACAAGGAGAAATACCATAATTGGAAGTTCTGCTTTTATCTCAGGCTCATCACACCAGTATTGAGGGTGTTTCGCTCTGTTTCCATGGTTTCATGTTGTGTGTTTTGTGTGTGTGTGTGTGTGTGTGTGTGTGTATGTGTGTATCAGGTGTGGGAGGTAACCTGGTCGCGGTTCAGGCCAGTCGAATCTCCACCTATCTTCACATGAACGGTCTACCCATGGGGGATCCCAACCCCACCCCCAGGAAGTGCCCCACACCCTGCACCTCCTTCTTCGGCTCCAGTAAGTGTCCGGGCGGCTGTGGAACGTTCCACTGTTTCTCTGTTCTCTAAAAACAGATCTTTCCATGTTGGCTTTTAGTTCCAGCTTCTGTCCTAAAAAAAAAAAAAAAACCTCAGTTCCTCTGAAATGCAGGGGAAGCTGAGTTACATCCCATCATCGTCCTTTTTGATATTAATGTGTGACTTCTCTCACTCTTCCAGCTGTGAACTCACGTTCGGCCCGTGTGCTCTTCCTCCTGGTCGCCCCGGGTCACCTCGTCTTCCTCTACACCATCAACTCCCTGAGGGGGGGGCACACCACCCTAACACCCATCTTCATCTCCTTCTACCTGGCTGCTGCTCTACTCCAGGTACACACACTCTCACGTTTGTTTCTATATCCCGTTGGGGACAACTCATTGGCATAATGCATTCCTTAGCCCCTTACCCTAACTCCATAACCCTAATCCTAAATAAACCTGAACCTGAACCTGAACCTGAACCTAATTCTAACCTGGTCCCTAAAAAGCATCTGAACGATGGGTGATGGTGAGTCCACATGGGTCAGTGTGTATTCACATTTAGAGTCCCCACTGGGACACACATACACACGCACGCACACACACAGTGCATTTTAGAAAAAGGTGTTGATATCTGTCAGATGTAAGGAAACACAACACATACAAAACCACTCTGATGGTTGTTCATGACTGTTGTCACATGCATATATGCAAGTACAGTTTATATTAGCACTATGCATATTATTTTTGTTTTGTCTTAAACACATGAACATGAACTCCAGTGATTAGTTTAGTCAGTCCAGCCGATCACAGGAGAAGTTTAATCTGCTGAAACACATTATTTTACAGACATCCTCATAACTGAACTATAATGAGCTCTTTTCGGCACTTTCCTTGTGATTATTGCTGCCAAAACTGAACATATGTGCAGCATGTCTTCTAGAAATTGTAATAAAAAGTACAACCATCTTAAGTTAAATTATGTCCTGACTCTAACAAGTATTGCATTTAAGTAGATTTAACTTTTACTTTTCCTAAGTTGAGTCTTTAGTCCTTCTCACTGTGCCATGTAGGACTGCCCAACAGCCTCCGTAAACCTAGTGCTTACAGCGCTTTAATGCAAGACTGTGTCATTTTTACTGAACAGCAGTCGCTGTGGTCACAAACAACATTTACAGGACAATGATAAAAGTTAAAAAGTGTGAACTCACTCAGTATAGTCAGTTACAATGGCTGACGAAGTTTGCAAACCTTAGCCACCATTAGCTACAGTTTATTGAATTAGGAAGGTTGTGTTTTATTGCTTATGACACACACACACACACACACACACACACACACACACACACACACACACACACACACACTACCACTCTCATTTTATGTCTATATGTGTATATATATATATATATATATATATATTTGTTTATATATACATTACATGCACCTTCATATATGATAAATAAAATGAACGCAAAAACATGTTAAAAACATAAATGTAAAATGAGATGGAATTAAAAAAAAAAAAATAGATAAATGAATAAATAAATAATTAAAATAAGTTGGATTACATGGAATGCATAAAATCAATAATGAAAAGCTTTCATTTAGCTGCTTACCGAGAACAGCTGAGCCTGAGTGGTTCCAGTGAATAACGTTTGCTTCTGCTTGGTCTGCCTCCAGGTGATGATCCTCCTCTACCTGGCAGACTGGATGGTCCACTGGATGTGGGGCCGAGGCATGGACCCCGACAACTTCTCCATCCCCTACCTGACCGCGCTGGGTGACCTGCTGGGAACTGGCTTCCTCGCCCTCTGCTTCCACATGCGCTGGTTCATCGGGGACAGAGACTCGAACGTGGGCAACTGAATGCATGCACAGACACACGCACAAAAAAACAAAAAACAAAACAAAAAAAAAAAACTACTTCTCATACTGTACGCTTGCACGCACGGACAGCAACGAACATGACCCATTATCTGAAACTGGAAGATGTCTACATTAAAAGGGCTAATCTCCTGTAGGGCTCTGATTGATGATATAGTGCACTTAGAGGACTGTAGAGTTTCATCTTCAGGATGTCGGGACGCTGATGCACCACAGCAGCAGCCGCCCAGAATCCAGACACTATCTGTGTTTCACCTTATCTCCAACTCAACCACCCAACAAAACTCCACCTGATGGATCCGGCCCCATAGACTCCACTACTCCTCCTTTATTCTACTTAATAACTCAGTCCTACTACTTTTGTTATCATTATACTATTGACAATGATTATTGTTGTTGGTAAATAATGAATTTGATATGATTCGATATCTGTTCTATGTGAAGGGTCAGTCCTCATTATTTTCAATGGGGACTTTTGCCCTCCTGTTTTTAAAGATCAACTTTTAACACTTGAAACCAAGATGACAAAAAGACAGCAAAAAAATATATCCAAACAAGCCTAGAATGCTTAATCACCAAGTGCTATGTCATATAAACAGAATATTATATGAAATCTAATGTGTTTCACTTTTGATTTAGAAGTGTACATAAGGCTAGCTGTTCTCTCTGTTTTACTTTGGTCTTGTGACAGAAGGAAACAGGCTTGGGGAGGGTTTACTACAGGAGCCTGGACTGCAAACATAACAAGCTACAGCGGTCTTGGCTCCCATCAACAGATAGCTTAATTTCAGTAGGAACGGGCAGGAAATCAAGGTTGTAATTTCCGCGTTTACTCCCTCGCAATCCACGGCTTGAGGAATCTGGGATCAGATCACAGTCTGAGAAACGTTTAAACGTCAGACACTACAAGAAAAGATTTACCTCTGATTCTCTTAGAGGAGAATCATTTAATTAATCCCTGTTTCTGTTAGTGAGGATTGTTTGTTCATTCACACAATAGTCAAACCTCCTCTAGAGTTCACAGAGGTTACATTACTTTTATTTTTACCAATTTTACTACTAAATATTACAGTCGTGAAATGTCCTGTTACTTTCATTAAAAAGTGAGCAAACACACAGAAACAGTGGAAAATAGTATGTTGAAAATGGCCAGACAGCTGTGGGTTCGGAAGGAAAACGCACACACCTCACTCTTTGTTGCATCTCACTATGTTTTTTTTTGTTTTGTTTTGGTTTTTTTTTTTGTGGATGCCAAGAGAGGTATTATTTTGCGCAAGATGAGAATAGCACCAGTCCCCCTGTCTGAAACCATCTGCCAACTCTCTACTGGAGCAGTTGTTGTAGTTGTGTTGCCCAAGCCGGGCTTACAGTAAGTGACAAGAGGCTCAACATGCTGCAAATGGACTGAAGCAAACCTGCAGAGCTTACCCAGCTGAACAGCATTTGTGTTCACACGTGGATACAGGGTGTGGAGTTGCCTTAGCATGCTCAGGGGAGGAGCTCACTTGGGTTCAGCTAGCACAGTCTGATTCCAGAGAGAAGGTACTGAGTGCTGGTGTTTTCTGTGGAGGTTTAGGTTTAGCATTGCATTTAGACCATGTTGGACCGCTGAATCTTTCCCATGAAAGACGGGCTAATGACGTTCTTTGAGGTTGGTTAACGGTTAGGTCACATGATCAGACAGGAAGTTGTGACGAACCATTTTAGTTGTTCAGTGTCGGTATTGGTTTTTCATTTGGTAGCCTTTAGATTCAGATTCATCAAAAGATCAGCACAGTTCTTAAAGCTGTCTGACAGCCCAGTTTTACATTTTCAAAATTTCTAAATCAGTTTACGCCAATAGGGTGAAGCAAAACTTCTCAAATATTTTGCGTGGAGTTCAACTCAAGTGAACTTAACCAGTACAAAAATGTCTTGAGAGTGCTGACTGTTGAGGGACCAGAGGGGAGAGTACAAAATGGAGGTAGCTATCGTAGCTTATTAGCTTTATTGCACCTTCCACTTTTATCTGCCCCTCCTCTGCTGGAGTATAAACTGATCCACATAAGAGGAAAGGTCTGTAGACAGTTATGAAACAGGAGTCGATGGTAGAAAGACATCTTTTAAATAAACTGTGTAAACTTACTTTCCCATTAATGACCAAACGTTCTCTAAGCTAACGAGGTTCCTGTCAGTTAGCAAGTCTCGTTAGCTTCCATCCCCCTCAGAAACTCTGTATTGAAGGAAATGTTGACAACAAAATGCTAGGGGGAGTTAAAGACACAGTACAGAGAAAATATAAACTGGAAGAGCTGCTCTGACTGACTAACTCAGGCTTATTTCCAGCTTGCTAATGTATTAGCTTGTTTCCAGCTTGCTAATGTATAATTTGCACAGAGCTATTGCGTAGAGTTCAACTTTGATGAATTCTGGCACGTGGATTCAAACCGTTGACCATCTTAATAGTGCTATTTATGTAGTATTCTGAGGCTAGCTAACATATTAGTTGTAAATACACCAAGAAATGTTATACTTTCTGCTCTTTAGGTGTATAAACTGCTGCACAACAGAGCTGCAGTCTGTGGTGAGTTGTAGACAGAATTCAATGGTAAAAATACTGTGTCCGGACAAATTAATTTTGCATTGGTAGTTTCTGGTGTGACATCACAGGTTACTATAAAATAATGGAATTAGTTTTTTCTCATTATACATAAAATAAAAACACACATGCACACACACACACACACACACACAATCTATCTTCCACCAGACTCAGCTGAACCAAGCTGGCTCTCTCTTTGAGAGCGTAAGGTGAGGAGGAGAATGAAAAAGGAAGTCGTGAGCCATCTTGACAGATGTTGACCCAGAGGCAAAGCCAGGTGTCTTATAGGAGAAACCTGCATGTGATGCTTGACTTATCCGGCGCTTGTCAGACTTCTGTGCTGTTTCGAAGGGGCCAGCAGAATGCATGTGCAGGGCACATAGTGTGAATGTGCAAAAAACTTGATTGTTGTGTCTGTCAAAATGATTTTTCTTTTTTTTTTTGGTCTGACTGATTTTTTTTTTTTATTGTATTGATTCTGTTAAAATTGTGATTTTTATCCCTTTCCTCCTTTCCTTAATCTTTTTAACTCTTGATGATTATTGTTTTGTGTAATGAATTTCATCAAGCAAACAACCACTGTAAAGATGAAACAACTTCTGTGACGCTGGTCAAATGCACAAGTACTGTAATCTGCAAAATGGACAGCAGAGGGCACCACAGGGATTCTCTTAACTGTACAACTTCTCTGTGTATCTCTGTGTCCCCTGGATTCAAACCCACACATATCCACTCTAAGTGACATTCATCTTGTCTTCTTTTCTACAGCGTTTACTGTGTTGTAGAAGTTACATCCTTCCATCTGTATCCTCCACTCTCTCTTACTGACCAGGTGCCAGCGTTCTGCCTCTATGTCAATGGAAAGTTGTGAATACTTCTATAAGGGGGCAAGTGAGTTTGTCTATTTATTTTTAGAAGCACACAAAGCAAATTGTACATACTATATTTATTCTATATATAAGGTTGTTTATTTTATCATTTCATTTTGGCTCAGTTTCTTTATCACCATGTTCCTGTCATTTTTCTCTTCTCTTTAATGTGTTTTTTTTTCTTTGCAAAAAGCCAGTAGAGCTTTTTGTTGCTTGCCGCTATAGAACGGCGGCGAGGCTAATGAATAGCACAGTGCCTAATACCAGTCTTTATACACCTCACACATATGCACACACACCCTGTCTCGCACAGGGAAAGCATACTTATAAGACATAGAAAAAGGCCTTAACCTATCAGAGCCAAGCTCGACTCAGAGTAACCAATCAGGAGCTAGGTTTTGCCACAGAGTAGCGTCTCTTTAATTATCTTTGATTAATAAAAGATGTACAGTGAGTTGATTATGATGTGTAATGTAATAATGACTTTATATGATGTAGCGGTGGAGAGGAGGGCTGGTCACATCAGTTACAAGCTTTTGTTCATGTGAATCTGCAAAAATGAGGACGAGGGGGAGTGCAAAAACCAGCAGGTTGGATTTTACAGGGCACCTGAAAGGTCTGGAATCAAATTGAGCACCAGTTGAAGTGAGATATCAACCCACAAACACAACAGAAAACAAGTACAAAATGACAAGATACAGTGTCACACCTTCTTATGATTCCAGATGTTTCCCCTAGTATATAACATACCCAGCCTTTAAAACCCTTCACCCACCTACTGCCTTGTTAACCTCAGTGCTTCGAACCCTTGAACCCCTGAACTCACAGGGAACCACGCTGACCCTCAGGCTGCCAACATCCACGTCAAGATCGAGGCTTCGATTCAGACTCTAAATATCCAACTGTCCCAGTCAGTTATGTTGCCTATAAGGAGAAACTGATGTAAAAACATGTACAGTCTTACTGGGGCTGAGGTCTCCTGAGTTCTCTGTGTGTTCTTCTTGTAAAAGCCCTCCCTCTGTGAGGCTGGAGGAAGGCTTTCTCCCTGCAGGACTTTGTAAATTGCTGGAAATAAAGGACTATATTATTTCATACCATTCCCCTGTCTTTGTGTCTGATTTTTGCCAAATTTAACTGTAAATATGTCAGTTATTTAACTCTGTTTTTGGTTTCCATCAACTCCTGAGGGAAATATCCGTCCCTTCAGGTGCTAATAGCTCCGCGGTGTTCACTAGCTAGCTGCTAATTCTATCTGCGATGTCTGTTTTCAGAAAAAAACCCAGATTGCAAAATAAATACCGCCCATACCTAAGCTACATGCTTGTTTTCTTCGGGCCCAGTATATACCCGGTTCCACGGCTTCCGGCCCATATACAGTATGATTGTGAGATGCTACTTCCACATCTGGACCAATTCTAGTGCACACACAGAAAATCTTCTGGCTGTTAGTCAATACTGCAGGATAACACCCACACTCGGATGTGGAAATATATGGGCCAGACTTGGGCTGAGGATCCAAGCATATGTTGGGCCAGAAGTTTCATTTTGCTATCTGGGAATCCCCTGTCCGCTCAGCACCAAACAGCAGAGAGACACAGTCAGAGACCATCTGGTGAACATAGTGAAGCATTTAGCAGCTAAAGAGCCAAATATTTCCCTCAGAATCTGGTGGAGACCAAACACGGAGCTAAAAAACAAGAGCTATCACAGAATCTGGGGCAAAATCAATACAGAAATCAAATCTGAAAATCAAAATAATGGAGGTACATACAGAAGTGAGAAGTAATAAAAGGGAAGAAAAATATTCCACAAACATCAGGAAAATAAATAAAACTGGGGATATTCATAAAAAAAATTATACTGTACATTTTAGGCTGTCCTGTGCGGGGTAATTTAGGCGGAACTGTCACAGTTCATTCAGTTATTACTTAATTGTCTAGCAGCCTTTGCCAAGAAGTCCCTTATCATTTCAGACCCTCAGGCCACTGAGACAGAAAACTTCACTTTTTTGACTGAATACTCATTAAATGAAAATTAAATGATGATTAAGAAATTGAACCTACTACCTTGACAAAGACCTCCACTGGGAGGTGCCCAGGACCCATGTAAATCAGATCCCAGAACCACCTCAACTGGCTTCTTTTGATATGAAGGAGCAGCAGCTCTACTCCACGCTCCTCCACGTCTCTAATCTCTCTAGCCTTAGAGATTTTCTATGTCAAACCTTGAATTTCAGTCACTTACAATTTCCAATTCAAACGGTGAGTGGCCTTGCAAACATGAGTTACTGTTTGGTTTTCAGAGTGCGAAGTTAAACCTCCAACAGACGCTGAACTTGTTTCAGCTGTGTGTGTCAAAACTTACATTGGAGCAAGGGGTTTGGATAAAAATATTTAATCATTTATATTAAATAGATACAAAATACAACACTAAGAGATTGAATTAAGTAAATAAAATTCATCTTTAAATACATTGAACCAGTGTCAACATCTTGGATATACAACTGGGAAATGTACACGGGTGCAAACAGGTCAAAAATACAAAAAAAGAGTATAACTAAAAAGTACCACAGTAGTAGCTTATTTAACAGGAGATGAGCAGAGGGTTGGCACTGCTGGTTTGATGACCTGTAGATGTAACCAGGAGCTTCTCTCTGCTCTCTCCTCCTCCTCCTCCATCATCCCCTCCGTCTCCAAGGAGATCACAGGAGGATAATCGGCGGCAGAGAGCATCAGCGACCTGTAGGACCCTGGATGGACCTGGATGGAGAAATTGAAAAGTAGCATTAATTCATTTGAAGCAATACTAAAATGTGAATATTTGGATGATTTGAAAGATGTAGAACAGACCTACCATCTCCATTCCTACTGCAGACATCCAGAGTGTCCATCACAATCTTCCCCAGCGCCCTGCGGGACATGTTCTAGAGAAAAGAAGGAGGACAGGCTTTTCACTTTCTGGTGTCTTATGATGAGACACATGGGTTGCAAAGTTGCATCAAGTGTGTGAAATTGTTTGTCTGTCTACATATCTAACACAAGATGCACATGCAAAGCAACCTGCTAAAAGCATGATGGGATATGCTCTCTGAACCCAACCTTCACCGTCCCTGAACGGGATAATTAATTATATAAAACACAAACATACAATCAGGGGTAAATATATTTGCAAAGCCAGTAGCTCTCAAAATGATAATTTAATATATATTATAATTAAGCGTTTTAATGAAAAATACATGTGTTCAGCGCCACAGGATCTGTAAGACTCAATTCTACATATACAGTATTTTAAGGATAAATGACTGTGACCTGGATGAGCAACAGAAAATGGATTCATGGAATAAACTGTAGATGGCGTTGAAGAGGTGGGTACTGTATGTGTAATGGCCGAGGTGGATGGTATGAGTGTGTGTACTGTCTGTGTGTTTGTGGCGTGCCTTGTTGCGTAGCTGCAGCAGTAGTGTGAGGGCATCTGTGAGTTTCTCCTCCAGCAAAAACAGACGTGTCTTTTCTTTCTCCTCCAGCCATGCCTCGTCCTCCTCTTCCTCAGGCCTCTGGGAGACAAGAGGAGGAACGAACGAATGTAAACAGGCTAAAACTTAAAGCAGTGGCGGAAACACTATTCACTACTCACTTTACTTATATAAAAGTGCCAACACCACAACAGAAGTTTTTCTTTTCATCTGTGAAAACAGGTGAATTTTTTTCCAGGCAAGTTTTTCTACATTTGTTGTTTTTCATTGTTCATTATTGTCTTGAGAGGCAAGTTTTTGTTTTTGTAATCCTCATTTCAGACACAAGAGTGCACCACTACCCCAGTCTAAAAAGGACTTAAAGCAGACCTCTCTGGACTTTTTAGTGGGTAAGTCTAACTTGAAGTTATCCAGCTAAGTTAACCAATGCATCGTTATGTTCTTCACTGGCGATACACAGTAGCATTGCTCATCTAATCCTTTGGCAATTCAGTGTTCCTATAGAAGGGAACTCTCAACTTTGCCGCTACACATACTTGATGTCCGTTAGTTCTCTGTTGTGGAAGTTTTTTCTTTTCTTATTTAATCTGACATTAGGCCTCCAGCTGTTTACATGTTACCATCATCTCTCTCTCTCTCTCACCTTTTCTTTGTCAAAGCTTCTGCTTCCCTCTTGCTGCTCTTGGTTTGGTCCCCTCCAGTCACAGCGCCCCATCCTGTCTTTAGAAGTGTTGGTGAGGTTTTTATCATGCAGGGGAGTCTGAGAGAGAAGATGATGGACCTTATGGTTCTGACATCTGGAGGAAGACGAAGGAGATTTAATTGTTTGTTTGTTTCAGTTTTAAAGAACCATAATGAGGACGTTCCTGCATTGTGAAGACATATCAGCCTTTTCTCACCACGGCAAAGTTTGAAGTGAAGGTTAGAGTTAGGTTTAGGTTTAGGGAATACACAATGTCAACGACGGTCCTCACAGCTATTGAAAGACAAACGTGTGAGTGTTGATGAGGTTTAAACTCAGACAGTTAGATAGTGGTGCATAAACCCCTTAAGAAATTCTAATTGGTGGAAGTTTGCATTTTCTCTCGTTAAGCATAACGGTAGCTAGTTAGCAGCTATGGTATCCTATGCTAAAATGTTAGCAAAGAGAGCTAAAGCTATCCTCTGACGATCCAGAGATGATCTGAGCCCAATACCATCACTTTACAAAACTACCACAAAGTAAGAATAGTTATTTAAGGTTAGATGTTGATGAATGTGTGTGTGTGTGTGTGTGTGTGTGTGTGTGTGTGTGTGTGTGTGTGTGTGTGTGTGTGTGTGTGTGTGTGTGTTTGTTAGATGTTAGCTAACCCTTTTCCGCAGCTGGGCAGTTGGCTGAAATGCTTCTTCACCTCTAACAGGCAGCACTGTCCTTTCTCCTTCGTCCCCCTGTCCTCCTCCTCTTCATCAGAAGCAGCTTTCCCCTCCACTGCCCTCTGCAGACACTCTGCATCTGCAGACAGTAAAAGTAGCTAGATGTAGTGACCTTACTGCCCGAAGGCGACTCAGTGATTAAGGATCCACACATGCAGCTATACCTGTGTGGACTGATATTGTTTAATGTGACATGACTTTAATGCTGCTGCTGCTGCAAGGCATTGGTGGATGAATAATAAGCTTCAAAAATCTCCCCGACAAACAAAGGGATCAAAAGCTGGAGGGAAAATGACAGTTTATTAAGAACACATGATCTCTGAACCGTAATTGCTCAGTGATTCATCAGTTTTGCAGTCACCTACCTGTCTGTCTATAGGAGTCTTCTGCTCCCAATAGATACGTTTGTTGATGGGACAAATCCAAGAGGCATGTACAGCAGGATCTGAGGGTGGTAAAGGTAGAGAACATCACTGATACTGTGGACAGATGCTCCCTCATCTGTATTTTTGTATGTGGGTTATCGAACCCGATCTGAATTTTGTTCACTGGCTTGGACCTGACTAATGAAAGCTGTCCTCTTTCCACTCTACAGCCCCACAGGAAACCACAGGTGATGGTTTAGATGCTGCGGAGTGATGCCAGGATCAGTCTACATGATACTTATGTCTTTCTATGTCACATTTAGATTACCACAGCTTTCAGTATAACATGACTTGCACGAGTTATAAAGGGCATCAGGCAGGAGAGGCCTAAAGCAAATCTGAAATCAGGTATTGCTAACTTTGTCTGTCTGCTGTTTGCTGAGCAGACGGTGTACAGGAGGAGGGGCTGATGGACAGCTGCTGGAGTCTGATGAGAGTCAACAAAAACAGTAAAGGTGTGGCTGTAAAAACGAAACAATGAGCTGAGAGACGCCTGTAGCAGAGTGGAACTACAGAAGCAGGTTTATCAATGCAAGTGATTATTATATTCTAAATACTGATTGGTGCAACTTATATGTGCATATTTGTGGTTTATTGAGTCAGATTTTTCTTGGACAGAGCAGGTCTGAACTCTCTCTAAAGCGCTGTGGGTTTCAGCTGATGAATCTGAGCGTAACGAGGTCACTGAGGACAGCTGGAATGAGTCTCTGTTAAAAATAAATGCAGTGGCGTCTGTTGAAAATTAACCCCATCTAACTTTTACCTGACACTGGAATTCAGATTGAGTGATTGAGTGTAACTTAACCTGTGTAGCTTGAATGCATTAAATTTCAAATCAGCAGAGCACAGAGGCAAATGATGTGTAAATAGATGCACAAACATACCCATGCTCACAAACACTCACACTCACACTCACTCAAGGACACACACACACACACACACACAAACACACACACACACACACACAGTGTTTGTACCTGTACTGGTGCAGTTCAGCCTCCAGCTGGCTGATCCTGGACTGGAGCTGCGGCACGGACTGAGCCTGCTCCTGGATCAGCCGAACCCTCTGGAGCCCCATGCTCAGAGCCTCCCTGGCGTCCTCCGCCCGCTTCCTGATGGAGATCATCCAAAACCTGTTTATACGTTCTTCCATTCAGACTCCATCCAGTCATCCTTAAAAGCTCCCTGTAATAAAAAACGAACCTGATCTGTGAGTTATCCTTCCTCAGTGCAGACTCCACCCCCTGCAGCTTGCGCACCTCCTGGTACGCCCACTGCAGCTCCGTCTCCAGCCGCTGATTGAATTTGATGGCCTCCTCCAGCTGCCCATCACGTGAGGAGCGGATCAGCTTCAGCTCCCTCAGAAGGGGGTCCCTGATGTCCTGTCTCCTCGCCACCCTCCTCGCCTCATCCCCTCCAGCACCTCTGCGCTGTCCTTTAATTCTCTGTGTCGGTACCAGCTTTCCCTGTACGAAGGTGATGGAAGTTGTAGGAGTAGAAACAGTGGAGTCAATGCTGGAGGGAGACGGGAGGGGGCGGCCCCTCTCTCGTCGGAGTGCCACCTCCAGGGCCAGGCAGCGAGCATCGCTCCCCTGCAGCGCTGAGCGGAGGTCCTCCACCAGCTCCCTCAGAGCTGATACCTCATCTAAAGAAGAGGATCAAACAGAGAGAGGGAGTCAATAGTTATTTACACATTAATTTAAGTGTCCCATATTTTACACATTTCCTGTGTTTTCTTTTTATCCATAACAAGATATATTTCTGGTTTAAAGAACCAAAAACAGTTTCAGTGTAGTTTAACATCTCCTCTCTCAGGCTTCTCTCTGGAGCTCTAGTAACAACAGGTTGGTGAGCCAATTAGAAGAGAGGAGACTCTGAGCCTCTCCTCTGATTGGCTGACTGTTTTCTGATTGGTCCAATAAAAATATATCAGATTTCAGGTAAACACTCAGAGAAACCAAATCCTGCAAGGTTTGGATGGTGGGTCCAAGTGGCTGAGAGCGGTGACTGCTTTTTTGTGACATCACAAAGTGATAGAAGTCCTGAAGGCTCAGTTTCTGAATACAGGCTGTGTGCATTTCTCTGTGGACTGAGCGCTTTCACAGTATTAATATAGAACCTAGACCTGCTTTATAATCAAACACATGGACGTGTACCTTTATACAATATGGGACCTTTAAGATGTTACATAAAATAAGTATATGATAAGCTTGGAGATACACGAGTTGTTTGCAGTTTCACCAAGTTTCCCCTCTAGACTTTGTGTATGGTTGCATTTGAAAAAAGAAGAATAAAATCAATTAATTCATAATCAAAATCAATACAAACTGGCTTTCAGTCAGGCTTTGCGTTTTCTTTTTCCTTTCCTATCAATCATCTCATGTCGGCCAGATCTGTACTGGGACCTTTTGGAGGGGCTGAACAATATATACGAACTAGCTCGAGCTTGAGCAGCTACAGTACACATGATACATCAGTATTATAATGTTATATGATAGTCACAGGGGCAAAGTACTTTTACTTTTGATAGTTGAGGTGCATTTAGCTGATAATGTCCCTGTACTTTTACTCAAGTAGGAATGCAGGAGTGTTTTTACATTTTCTGTAAATGACCTGATGGAAAAGATGGAAGAGGTGGAGAATAAATCAGTAGCAAATGTTACATGTTGCTAAAGATAAAAAAAAAAAAGACAGAAAAGGAAATGAGCTGAGGTAATTGGTGGTTACAGCTATTTCTGCTCCCTCTACCGCACACTGCCTCAAGATAATAACTGCTCTGTCACTCCATACTATTATACAGTATATAGTTTGAAGGTAACAACAGGGTTATTAAATAATTTCCTATATACTGTAATAAGCTAAAATAAAGGTACGAGGCATTTCAGTGCAACAGCACATGTAAAATAATATCATCCAGGTGCAGTACCTGTCTCACGGTCCTCTCTGGTTCGACCTTTAACAGATTTGTCCACAGGTCCACTCTGGTCCCTCGTGAGATCAAAACTGACACACTTTCTCCGCCTGACACGCGGCCACCGGAGCCGGATCTGTCTCTCGACCAGCTCCGTGTCCTCGGTAAGGGGCAAGCGCCAGGCACACTCCCCGGTGCCTCTACGCGCAGTGCGCACACGGAAATACCCACATAGCCGGGAGTGGAAGTCTTTAAAGGACAGCTGGCAGGGCAACCCAGAACACACATCCCTAAACTCTTCATCTTCTTCATCCTTCTCTTCACCTCCATTTTCTTCTTTTCCTTTCCTCGTCCTCTTTCCCGCTCCAGGGAGCCCTAACACAGCGCACAGCGCGGTGAAATCCTCCGCAGTCACCGTATCGTCCCGGTTGGGGTAGGCCAGGTGGTGGAAGACCTCCTGCAGGTACTGGTCTATACCAGTGGCCAGGACGACGATTTCGTTCTCCGCACCGGGATTGGGGCAGTGGTGATGGGCCAGAGCGCTCCGGAGCCACTCGCTTTTACGCGCTGCTCGAGGCGAGGGCTCGATGCGCGACAGGGCCAATGCGGTGCGCTCCATGACTACACATAAAGTAAATTTTTCTTCTAGGTGTGTCGCCAAATAAAAATCGGATTATTCGAATTCGCACCGGATATGATTTCAAAGCTGAAACACTTTCCCGGTGTGGTTTGACGCAGCGTAATTCCCTGGAAATTTCAACCTGGATTCCTTCCCAGCGCATCAAGCCAAGATCTGATGCCATGGGGTGGGAAAAAAAATCCCAGGGCACCGACTCCACCCTTTTGTGTGCACACTCGCATGTGTGTGTGTGTGTGTGTGTGTGTGTGTGTGTGTGTGTGTGTGTGTGACTGTACCGCTTAAAGTTAGATATGCGAGAAAGTGAGGGCGATGTTGGTGCTGTGGTAGTTTGATTACAACAGTGGATCACATGTCAAGTTTTGCCACAAACAGTTTACAACCCACATCTTTGACTGTGTTCCTGCTCAGGACGCACCCCATACAGAAATGTAATAGGCTATATGACATATGTGTATATTATTATCACGTACATCCTCTGGCTATATGAAGATATAAGTTTATGACATATATGAAATACCCATAGTAAAATAAGTATATGTACAGTACATATATTAAAAATATCTATGAAGAATTCACATGGTATAACATGTTGTGAGCATATAACAATATATATTTAATTAATACATCCAAGTTTATTAAAACAACGTACATATAAAAATCGTTATGCTTATATTGTATATTAGATATTTTCTTATCAATTTTAATGTCTATCTTCCCATTCTGGGAAACTGGTCTCAGACTTTTGGACCTTACTGTTTCTAATTTTATAAACATATATTAACAGGTTTTGGGATGTATATATGTATATTTATGTAACATTTGTCTGCACTATAAGCATACATACATAAACATACATATTTGTATGGGCTAGACATACTGTATACGTCAAGATATGAATTTGTTTCAATTTCTAATAGGTTTTATATTTGATTTTTACATGTATGTTTATATTTTATATATTTGCCAACAAGCCGGGCAGTTCCTTTTGTGTGATAAATGATCAGATGTGTGGAGTCCTGAGTCATAAGTGGGATCACATGTTTTTGAGGTAAATGATATAGTTTGCAGAGATTCAGGCATTTTGTGGCAAAAAACAGTCCACAACAGTCAAGAGTGAGTCATGGTGGGTTTTAGTTTGCACCTTTACCAGAGTGAATCTTAAGGGGATCTGACTCATGGCCTTTGTGGCAGCAACAAAGAAAAAGGGTAAAACGACTCCTGATACTCTGCACCTTTTGGACTCCAGTCAGAGCTTCACCTGGAAGTCAAATATGAATTTGTTTACAGGAATCTGAGCGACTCCTGGGGGAAATAACTTTCCCTACCTTGAATTCACCACTTATTACACACCTGACAGCCATAACAAAGAGGTGCATCTTGATCAAATTCAGCCGGGCATGACTGAACCACACAAATTACATATGAATTACAATCCACTGGCAGCAATTAATCAGAGAATTACACAATGTCAATAAACCAGTCCCAGGACTAGAGCCAAAACAATTTGTCTATTGGCAGGAAATGAATCAGTTTAATGTGCTTATACAATAAATTCTGTATGTTTGACTTTTAGATTGCTGCTCAGACAGAATAATCTGAAGACGTCCCCTTCGGCTCTGGAAACGTAATCATTATTTTATGTTATTTTATATATAAACAAGGTATTAAACCAAAGACAAAAAGGGATGCAAGTTTAAAAAAAAATAACTATTAGAATGAACTTTGATTTGTTTTTGTACTGTTAGTGAACAAGGTTGGATTATCAACTAGGCAAAGTGGCCAACTGACCCTCAGGGGTCCCACCAGCCCCAAGTTTATTCCTCCATTTCTGTCTTCATCTGTCACACCACTGAAGTAGAATATCAGTTATAACAGGTCCTCCAGCCTGCAGCAGGACTCTGTCACAAAATGTTTTAGTTAATGTTGAGTTCATTTATTGTAAAGTTGTCTTTGAACAAATTCCTTTAATTTTTTCTGCATGTTAAGTAATTACCACTCAGAAAAGCCCAGGTAGTTTTATTTTTTTTCGTTGAATCCTTGGAGTTGAAAATGGTGGCACATGTCGCCATTATTCCCTGAAGCTCAAGTTGGCATATTCAAAAAGCTTCGTTTTATCTGACCAATCAAAAATGTTGAGTTTACTATCACAGAAAAATATGTCAACTCTCTTCAAGCAGCTTCATGTTCACTGTTGAGACGTGAGATCGACATCAATCTTCTCATCTGCCTCTGGGCAAGAAAGAAAATAAGAATACTTCCCAAAATGTCAAACTACCACTTGACGTGAATACACATCATTAGAAAATTGTATTAAAATTGTACAGACTTTTGTTTCTAAAATCCTACTTACAGCCAATCCTGCGTTCCGCTGCACATAACCAACCACACAAAGCGAAACACAGACGCTTGGTTTTGTCTATGAATGGAAATGTGTTTTGTGCAGACCAGCAAAGCAGAAAACTCACCTCTTTCAACAAAGGGTTTTAAAATAAATCAAAATGAATCACCAACATTAGTGAAGATAAGAGTAAAAGACGACACTGTTCTCTTCACTAATGCACTGGTAAGTAGATGAGTCATCTGAACTCACATGAGCTCACAGAGGAAAAGCTCGGATACTGTTTAGTCTTTGTTTTGGTTTCCAGGACTAATCTGAATATGGTTGAGCTGCAGCGCCTGCAGTGACTCATCTGGGGCTTTTACCTTTGGAAAGGTGTGTACTGTTTCACTCTGTGCTACTTAAGGCTACAAATATCGTACTGCTTCAAGTCAAACAAATGTATTCTCTCACAGACACAGAGAGTGTCCTGAAGATATCAAACGACATTTATCACCTGTTTCACAGACGCGTGCAGGCAGGCAGGCAGGCCGAGCTTAGCGGCGGTGATCAGTTCAGGTCCTCTGGCTGTGTTGGAAGCTGTGTTTTTCCTTTCAGGCCTCTTGGCAGGAATCTGATAAGACGGTCAAGGTCAAGGTGTGAACTACAGCCGCAGACATGCACACATATGTTTTCATTGAAACACAACAATCAGTGTGGTAAATACAGTAAAATATCCTCAGTTTATCGTACAGTAACAATGACCATAAATATAACATGTAAATATATAAAGTTTTACACTGTTTTCTGCAATGAAAAGTACTAGTGTAGGTGACGTCTTTTGCACTGCAATGTACTTCAGTTATTTAAAGTAAAAGTGAAAAATGACTCATGTTATTATTACTATCATTAGATTATTATTACTCATGCATTAATGTAAATAGTGACTAATTTTTTACTACAATTAATGATTGCAACACGGATCAGGGATGGTTGTAACATATTAGAAATTTCACTAATTTACTTTGACTGTGAGAGGAAATAATTCTCAAAATAACTTTTTCTTCTACATTAAAATGAGGAAAATATAACTCATGAAAAAAATTACTTTCACTCCTCCACAACAAGTTTGAGTGTCATCACTCTTGCATGTTTCTGATGGAGACATAAGACTTGTTGCAACCGTCCCCAGTCTCCCCTCCAGTTCACTGTGAGCTGTCACAGTCAGTCAAACCTGCAGCCACACATCCATTCCCAGCAACAGCAAAAAACCAAATAGTGAAGATCAGTCATCAGTTAGGGGCTTTTATGAAAATAATAGAAGTTGCAGTGAGATCCTCCCTCAGTCCTGAAATCAGAGTTTATCCATAGAGATTAGTCCAAAAAGAGCACGAGCTTACATAAATCACATAATAGGTGTTTTGGTGAAAATAAATACTCACTTTAACTGTTTTCCTTTTGTGTGTGTGTGTGTGTGTGTGTGTGTTTGAGTGGTAATTAGTAGTTAATGTGCAGCTCAGAGTTGGTCCCCTCTGTCCTGCTGCTGTCGTCCTGCCTCCCCCTGAGAGTCAGTCCTCCAGCTGCTGCTCGCTCTGGGTGAAAGGACCTGATCTTAAAATGAAAGGATGGGAAGCAAGAAGAAGGGGCTGTAAATAAAGGGGGGCTGAGGATCTGAAGCCATGTGTGTGTGTGTGTGTGTGTGTGTGTGTGTGTGTGTGTCCTGTTGTTCACCTTTGAGAGGAGGAGTGAGACAGTATCAGTGTTGATAGGAGTTGGGTAAGAGCTTTGTGTTGGCTGCCATATGCTCCTCTGAGGGTCAACAAAAAGACAAATACAGCCACACACACACGCGCACACACACACACACACACACACACAACAACTCTTTGAAGTGGTGACACTGACCGATACACTGTGTCCAGTTCACTGAAGGCTCGTCCTGGTTTAACCCTACAGGGATATGAAGGTCTCTAAACATGAGGTCACACATGTTAACCTATGTGGTTGTCCACTCTCTTCTTTATTGATCCGTGACCATTTCCTGTCCGGTCATCGTGTTTCAGGGTTGAGCCACATGTCAAGGACAGAAGGAGGGTTGCACACACCTGCGCAGTCTCTGCATTGTCATATTTAGTTGTGCAAACATACAGCACAACAGTGGCAGATACTATATAAAACGTATCCAGCTCTCACTTGTTTCATTGTGATTGTGTTTTGCTGTCATGCAGTATGAAGGCGGAAACATTGAACAAATCAAATAACTAAAGTGACCACTTTTCCTTTTGTTGCTTTTTCTTCTTCTCTTCAAATACTATAAGGACACACTTTCCACTAAAGGTAAAAGTCCAGCATTTAATATTTCAAGTTTAAAACAGTAAGATGTACACAAAGCAGTCATTGTAAAGAAAAGATATGGGTAAAAGAAAGAGTAAGTGATATCCTAGCAATCAATAGCAAACTTTTACCCTTACAGCACAGCATTAGCATTCATTTGGAGTCATGCGTCTTCCCACTCAATGAATGTATAAGTCCAATATTCACTCTCCTTTTAGCGCTGTTTTGCTCCCCACCAACTCCTGAGGGAAACACTGGCTCCTTTTAGCGGCTCAGTGCTCCATATGTTCACCAGCTAGTTTGCTAACTGTGTCCGCCTGCTGTCTGG